GTTCAAAGCTATTGGAAAAAGTAACAACTGACCGGTAATGCATTACTAGTAATCACACTCCATTTCGCATTAAGATGGAGCGCAGCTGATGCTAGAAGCCATCACGCCCGGCCAGAGTGTCACGTGACATTGCGCATTGCTGCGCCAAGCCGGAAGGTCGCCCAACACACTCTCAGCACAGAATTAGTTGTGCTGGCTCGTAGCATCTGCTGCAATCCACCTTAAAAGGCCCCTGAAAAGAAAAAAGTTAGTTTTGAACAGCCTGGTTGGGACACGCGTGTCAAAAGATTAGTTTATGCGAAAAAAATTCGTTTAGACCAATAATGACGGCACAAGACGCCATTTAGTCGGCAGTTACCTCCTTTCCACTTGTTTTCTCTTGGCATTTCGGGCACATGGAGTAGAAATGGACCGGCTTTGCCTTCACGACCGAGATGGTTATTCCGGAATGACCCGTGACTTCATGGGCTTTGCACAAAAAATTTCAAATAAACTCCCGCCGTCAATATTGCTCTAGAAATTTTTTTTTTTTTTTTTTTCGCATAAGATTTGATTTTTGACTTGCGTGTCCCAACCAGACTGTTTAAAAAAAACTTTTCTTTTCAGGGACCCTTTAAAGGGACACTGACAGGGTATTTATGCTCGCCGAGGTTGTTAGTTTTATGTGACATATGAGAGCCGAACTACCTAGAACAAAATTTGCAGCTCGAAATTCGGTTTCTTTCCGCCCGAAAACTGCCGATCGAGTCACGCTCACTCTCTTTTCCAAGGCAGTTTTCTAAGGTTTAGACACGACCATCAAATTTAATCAAAATCGTGGGTCATTGAAGGCACACAGTGAATCCTAAAAGTATAAAAAAAAATGAAACATTTTTTGTAACTTTCAAAAAGCTGCAAAGATGTTGATTGAAAAAAAGAAAAAAAAAAAAAAGGTTGCACAGACAATTGGAAGCATTCTGTGCGTTCACTGCATAATTCTCAACATGGCGTCGTTTCACGTTTCGTGGGACTCGCGGATGACGGGCGTGGGACCTCTACTTCAGAACTGTCGTTCACGGTGTCGGTGCATTCTGTCTTCTCTGTAGCGAAATATTACTTAAATAGTATTCAAACGCCTGGCAAAAAATTAAAAAACAATTTGTGAGGGGGGGGGGGGGGGGCAGTGTCCTTTTAAGGTAAACTTGAGTATGGCTACTGCCCATGACTAAGTAAGACAGTTAAAACAAATTCTGTAAAAACTTTTCGGAGCAGCTCAAGAGGAGAACATGTACATTTTGAAGCAGCTTAGGAGCAGAAAAGTCCACATTAAAGTAAAACATGTATCGCAACAAAAACTTATTATATAACAAAAAAAAAAATTTGAAAAAAAAAAAAAAGTTTTGGAGGTATTTTGGTGCAGGTTCGGGCTGTTTTGGACAATTTAAGGGTGATTTTGGGATAAGATTGACCGAAGGATGGCTGGTCAACATTTTCAAGTCAATTGATATTTTTATATGTCATTGCCTAATGTCCGGTGTAAATAAACATGTTTATTTTTCATCAGAAAAAGAATCTGGGCGCACAAGAAATCTTAGATCACATAAAGGTAGACGGTCGCATTCACGCTCACTATTGGAGCAGGCATCTTTGAAATTAAATAACTAAAACAGTAACACCAGGAGAAGACTAATACTTTTTAGAATCAGAAACAAAGAAAATTATTTAGACATGGTGGGTGTAACCATTACAAATTATTTTGTTAAAGGGACACTCAAGTGGATTCTGATACCGTCTATTGTCGTAACTCAATCTATAAGCTCTAAGCATTCTAAAAAACCCAAAATTAAATTCAAGGCTGGCCGATTTCCCTATTGAAAGTCCAATCAAAGATTGTGCCACGCCCCTCTTTCTGTGCCATGGCGCAGAACACCAGGGGGTGCCACCATGCGCGCCTTCGAAAAGTCAGTCCGCCGGGAAACTGTCACTCGTGATTTACTGTCATGTGCCTTCCCCTGCTGCCTTCCTGTCTGGTGGCACCCTCTAGTGTACTGCACCACAATGCAGAAAGAGAGGCGCGGAAAAATCTTTGATTGTACTTTTACTAGGGAAATCGGCTGCTCTTGAATGTGGTTTCAGGTTTTTTTAGGATGCTTAGAGCCTATATATTGAGTTACAACAATAAATAGACACGGCTGCTATGGTAACTGCACTGTATTTTACGGAATACATGTTTTGAAGCTCAGCGTCTAAATGGAGTTCCACAGCACTCTATGGAGCACACAGTTCGTAAACGAAAATCTAGATGGCATTTCGAATTTGGTTTTCACACTAAAACCTAGAAGGTGAGCAGCGAGTTGCGTGCCTGTGACACGAAGACATCAATACTGTGAACGCTGCTCTTCTGAAGCTTGATGGTCACCGTGCACGGCTCACTTTTTAGAGCACTAATGGCCAGGCAAAGCGCAAACACAATATCTTCATCACCCTCTAAAATATGTTGCCACAAACAGTGATGTGGTTGGTGTCTAAAACGCGCTCACACACCACAAAGCTTCGGAAGTTGGGGTTTCTGCAACTTTTAAATATCAGTATGCTCGTTTTTCTACCACGCATCAATATCTCCGTCACCTGTAATATGATCCTGCCCTAACTGCTTCGCATTTGTACACAAATGAGTCATTTTTAGCGCAGTGACAAGCGTGAACAAGCAGGTGCATGTGAAATCCTGGAGAATCTATCTTCGTCTCTTCTGCCATCTTGGAAGTACCGCCTTGCCACGTATGGGGCGTTGGAGTTGCAAATACGGGATATTAAGCAATGACAGAAAAATATCAATTGAATTGAAAATGTCGACCAGCCACCCCTTGATCTATCTTATTTGAAATCACCCTTAATGTTTTTGGCACAATTCAGCAACAGCCAATATGTTTTAGTTTTGTAGAAATCTTCATCACATAAATTACAAATTGGCAGAGTGTATACACCGACGTGCGGCGTGCTTTGTTTATCAACACAACGGCAAACTCGCGCATGCGCAGAAGGTATGTGGACAGAAGCGGACGACCTCTGTGTTTTTGCCATTGCAGTATGTGGTCTACATTTGTTGGTGAGGCTGCACAAGGTGCCTGAACTTCATTTGTTCTTGCATTTTCTGCCAACGAACCTCGTATGTGATGCTAGACTATTTGGGCTAGCTACCGGACTTTGAACGGCAGTGGTACAGACAAACTGCATTGATGGCATTGCACAGACAAACTGCGTTGATAGCGTTGCCTTTGACAATTCTAATGGGCACTTTGACAAAAAGTTGGTGTGCCACTAAAGTCAATGGCTTATGTTGTCATTTATGTGGCGCCTTCAACAAGCTAGTACACAGCTGGCATGATTCAGTCATACAAGTCTCTTGATCTGTAAAAATACAGCACGAGTATAAATGCGTATAACCCTTTGAAAGAACCGCATAAATTGCTACCTTGACCTATCGTGCTACGATTTACTACAGAAGTGATCTAGATGGTGCAGCTCAACCTAAAAGTTTGAGCCCCCCCACAGCTAAGGAAACAACACTTTTTATGGGTGATTGCCCACTCCTTTTGGTGCAATATCATCAAACAGCCTTTTGGGCCACCGTGGCATTACGACTGAAAAAATGAGGGAATGGGAAGGAAGTAAACTTGGCTTATGTATTATCTGTCTCCCTTTGCCAAAATAGACAGTGGCCTAAAATGTAATTTGGTTTTCACACGTAAACTACAGAAAAAAAATTTTTTTTTCTCTTTTATTTTTTTTTACTAAAGTGAGCTCTGTTCAATAATATAGCTAGAAATGGCCAATTTTATTGAAAAAAAAAAAAAAAAGGTTTATGTGCAGGCAAGCTGACGGTGGACACTGTGGTCAAAAAAGACTGGACTGTGGTCAAAAAAGGGGGAAAAAAATTATAAGAGATAGAAAAAAAGGGACAGACAATGTCACAATTATATTCCACCTGTGTGCTAAATTACATTGGTCCGAGCTGTGCACATTATTAGTAATGTTTGTACAAATATCACCAATGACGAGTCACATTCGTCCACCCTCATGCTGTGCTGCTCTCTGCGTCAAAGACAAGTTACGTTCAAAAATTGGTTTCGGTTTCTATTTTCAACCTAAAAAGGTGCTAGAAAAAAAAAAGCGTTTTGCACTTTTGCAATGTGTTTAGCCTGACAGCAGTTGTTGGCCTGGCAACATGAATTTAAAATGGCGACACGCATGAGGAATGCTAATGGCGGTGATGGTTCCCAGAAAAAGAGCTGTTCCTAGGAGCAGTTCGGACGGCAGCGATGCTGAAGATCCCGAATTTGTCTTCAGAGTGAGTCTCACATTGCCTGTGAAGACAAGACGGCCTCAGACGACGACGAGAGTGACCATGAGAACGTGCTTCTGAAGACTTCAGATAAAGTAGGTCGACTCCTTTCACGAGAGGTAGAAAAAGTTTGCGGGAAAATGCATAGGAATCCTGCCACTGAATGTCAATATGGTAGTGTTTATAATATTCCTTTGGCACCTGGGTTTTCATACATAGTTTAAACTGGATGTTATGTTAATGAGCAAATCATAGAGCACAAAAGGTGTGTTCTGCAATCCCCAAATTCAGAAACTGTAGTACATTTATAAGTTTGCAACAGTTGTCATCCGAATTGGATGGCCACTACGGTGATAAGCCGAGCGAGATCAGTTCAAACGCGCGGTAGAAGAAACTCTTAGTATTGGTTCTGCTGGTAATTGCGCAAGTGTCTCATCTATGGTGATTCACAAGCAAAGACAAACTTTTTGACCAATGCAATTTTTTTTTTTTTTGTCAGTTGCTTGACCTTGGCACGTATGGAAGCGTCGAGTGCATTTCTTTTGTTTGCTCTGGTCTGGGTGTGTGACTTGGTGTGAGGGTTCTTGGCGTTGACTGTGGTGTACCGTTATAAAAGGGTGTGGTTTTGGAATAAACCTTCAGCTGTGTTCGAGACGGTGTGTGTGTGTGTCATCCTTTTTTTCGTGTCCTTTTTCCTTCTGGTGTTTCAGTTTTTCGTCTGCAATTCACCAGCTTGCTTGTACTTTTACTCTCCTCTGAGTTATCGCTTTTTAAAATGCTGGCAATTGAATCTCACCTAGCCCGTTACAAACTATCCCGTGCACACAGGGATGACTTACATGATTATGCTTCCTGTAGCAGATCCTCATGCTTGTGGTCGCCAGTGGTCACTCCCTCTTGGCTCACAAAACAATGAAACAGTGATTATAGGCACTTATTAGCAAGAAAACGATTATATCCTAAAGCATATAAGTCACATACTAAAATAATTTGGTATGTCGCGGGAACTGCAACTTTCACATTCCCGTGCAGCAGTATGCAAAATAAAAAATAAGCATGTAACAGGCAACTTGAGGTATTATGGTTACTCATTAACTTAGAGGTAACCTGTCTGCATAAATTTGAAATTAAATTGGCAAGCTCTGGCCATTAAAACTTTTCCAATTAAGACCAGCTGATAACATAAGCCACCTGTTGGAGAATGGCGAGCTCGAGCACCTCTTGACATTCTCCAAAGCGGAAAAAGCTGCACATTCTCGTGCAGTAATACTATCTAAAAAAAAGAGTGCCGGTTTCATGGAGGGGCACGCTTATAAACAAGCATTTCGAGGCACTATGGTTGCCCGTTAATTTAGAGACAACCGTTCCGTATCAACTGAAATAAAATTGCCAATCCCCGGTTGTTAAAAAAGCGTTACGATTAAGGTCAGCATATAATGCCTCGCCTAACGTAACCTGTTGGAGGATGGTAAGAGATGCCCCTCTTGCCTTTAGCTCGAGCCTCTCGTGACATTCTCCAAAGTGGAAAGAAATCCAAGCTGTCCAACACGCCATTCCTTTTTGCAAGAAGAATACTGCCCCTTTTTTGTAGTCCAATTGTCACGACTACTGATTTGCAAAGTAGTCATGCTCCTTGAGGGCCAGCACAGACATGCTCGGAACATCCACATGGAGCTGAGCGGATGCTGCTCCTTCTGTAGGAACTCACCTGGCTACAAGGCCCTGCATGATGTGCTGCTGCTCCAAGCTGGTGGGAGGTTTGCCATGCATGGGACCAGAACCAGGGCGTTTTTTGGGGGGGAAAGTACCGTGGTTGTTTTTCCATCTTTTTGTTGTGAGGGATTACCCTAGGTTTTGGAGAAGTCTCATCTGGAACAGAGTCAAGTACTTGTTGGGCCTTGGTACGGTATTTCAACACCAGGGAGCTTGAAGAGCTTGTCAATTTCTTCCTGGAGAGGGACTTGTTGATGGCATTTCTACACCTGGCTCAGTGTCGGCCTCCTCCACGGTCGTCACATGAATCCCCAGGTAAGCTACTGCGTGAATATGCTTGCACATTGATGATGAAATCAGGCTGTCATTGCAAGTGCACTTGTAACTGTCGATAAAGATATCACAGTCCCTGCAACGAAGCACGCAACTCTGGCGGGGGTCGCCCTTCTCAACATGGTAGCTTCTCTCTGTCTGGGACTGAGACTTTACAAGTCAGCCATTGCCATTTTGCAGCTGTTCTACATCTGATGCTGGAATTTTCATCCCCTCCTGGTGCCTCCGAAAAAGGGCTGCATCATGCCGATTCGTTTTTCCTTTTACGAGCGACTTGGGACGCTTGTAGAGCCGGTCACGGCTCAGTTCGAAGAGGATCATCAACAGCTTGTCAAGCCTCTGGTTGTGAGTTCCATGCATAAGCGTGACTTCAGGTCCTTGTACATTGCCTCCAAGTGGTTGGTAGTATTAAAAGGAATGCCCTTTCTGGAGCAGAGCGCCCACTGTTAGGCTCTGCCACCATGGTAGTGCCCAAAGTACTGAAGAAACTCCTGTACTTGTTGAATTAGTTTTGGATCAGCCTCTTCACTTAGTTTCTGACACGGGAAGCCTGTCGGAGGTCGTTGGAATTGACCCTCATCTTTGCAATTTCTCAGCGCCCACAACTCGTCGCAAAGGCGGTCACGGGTTTGCTTATATCTTGGACTGACTGCAACTTCAGAGCCCAGTCGTGGCTTACATGCCACGAGCAGAGCATCCAATGTTGGGCACAGCCCACCACTTCCTCCCATGCATTACCTTTATGGCCTTAAGGAGTGTTTCATAGCCTTGGTGTCTAGTTACTTTGAGATCAAATATGTGCATGGCATGCCTGACTGATCTTCTGCAGCTGTCATGAGTCTTCAGTTGCAGATTGTGGCCATTTATATTACGAGTGTAGTCAATGCACAGAAACTTGGGGCCAAGCTTTGTGAGGCGTTCTTTCTGAGGGACAGTCATCAGGGCAAGCTCAAAGCTCTTTTTGTTTTCCTTCCTCCATGTCAGTACAGGACTGGGGAATCTGACTTTGTTCAGTGCCGTAGCTCTTTCGTCAGAATTTCATGCTCGGCGGAGATGTTGCCAATGTCTTTCATTGAGAGCAAATGTAGCCTGCCCATCTCACTGCCAGCAGAAGAATGTGCGTCTACCAGATCTCTACGGGCGGGGATGCCTTGCTTTAGTTTATCAGCTAAAGCCTCCTTCTCAGTCGTAAAGAGGCGCTGGTGCTTCAGTTCCTTCGGGTGGCCGTAGTGTTCTGCCTGGTACTCTACTGTCACCTTGCCATCTTTCTCTGTAGCTTGAATTGTGGCTAAGCATTGCACATTAGTCTTACAAGTGCCCTGGGTTCTCAGTTGTCATTTACCTCTTGCTCTGAAATGATCCAGAGCGGTGGCAGTAGTAATACCTTTTCAGGACACCCTCATCTCGTCCCTATGGTCCGTCGTGGAGAATGAAGCGAACATGCTCTCTGCCATCCTTAGCCTCCCTCCAGTCGCTGAATTCTGGCAGGCAGAGAAGAAAGAAAGCTTAAAATGAAATGGCCTGAATTAAGAGTGGTATGTCAGTCACATCATATACCGCCTGCTTTAAAACATCTTCATGTTTGTTTCACTAAATGTACATCCCAATCAGACTTTTAGCTGTAGCATGCAGTCCATGGTTTTTTTGTGCTCCCAATGCCCACATAGTAGGTGCACTCCTAAACACTACGGTCTGCAAGAACAGGTTCACTGCACCCCACATGTGTAGTGTTTGCAAGTGCACCTGCTATGTGAGTGACGGGAGGACAAAAAAAAAAAAAAAAACGCAAACCAAAATATGTTTTGCATATTCATAAGTTCAATGCAAGTGCACACTACAATGGAGAGGAAGCACAAGTTTCTTTGGCTCCATGTCAACCGCGCATCTTTCACAGAACATTTTAAATTTACGGTTAACCAAACACTAAGAATTTTATTCGCGAATCGATTCATCCGAGAGCTTACTATTTTATTTGTATTCCGATATTAAAGTATTCATACACCCCTAGAAAAGAGTCAAGTCTCATTATAGTGGCAGTCACAAGAGCAGCTGAAAAACCCCAGTGTGTTGGTACCATGTAAACTGTAGACGTGAGATATATGCTTACGATAAAATTCTGAGAGATGCCCCAGCCTCGAAAGGTAAGCCACCCCAGTTTTTGGCTTCATTTGCTTTTTTTTCCTTTTAGTTAACTATTGGGGAGATAACGTGTCTAGTTATTGTGTCGAGTTAGCTATGGCAAGATGTAATGAACCATTGCCGACTGGCAAGTAGAGCCATTATTGCTTCACACTGCAAGTGAGCCCACTCCTTAATTTGAGCCATTTTTTTATTGATTTTAGGTGGGCTATCTCTCGGGATATTAGAGTAACACTATGAACCCTCTGCTTCACTCCCCAGGTAGCCATACTCCCATCATACATACCTGTGGCAACGGCCAAAGCCACTACAATCAGGTGTGCTAGGTTTGTGCTTAAGCTTATGCGCTTAAGGTTATGTGCTTAAGCTTACACTGAGCAGCCGAGCAGATAGAGCTCCGCGGCTCGTGCGCATGAACTCGTGCCTTGCGCCCGTGGCTAGAACGTACCCGGCTCTGAGCCGATCGTCATATTAAACCTCTTCTTCTACCTTGCTATCGTGTCACCTTTCCTGGCGCAACTTGCAACATGGTGTCAGAGGTGGGTTGCGGAAGTCGTTGAGAGCGGAGATGCTCAAGAGCCACGTATAGAATGTGAAGGCAACCTTCATTCACAGACGAGAAGTGGCCGATGCATCAAGGCTCCCCTGAGACTTTGACTCTTCTGTATGGGGGAGATGTTGGCTACACTGAGCAGCCGAGCAGATAGAGCTCCGCGGCTCGTGCACATGAAATCATGCCTTGCGACCGTGGCTAGAACAAACCTGGCTCTGAGCCGATCGCCATATTAAACCTCTTGTTCTACCTTGCTATCGTGTCACCGTTCCCTGGTGCAACTTGCAACACGACTTGCAACACTATCCACAAGCTTTAGCGTCAATGCACGAGAACAAGTGTTTGCTCGAGGAATAAAAATTGACATTCTATTTTATCTTAAAAAGGGCTCGGACATTCATTCAACTCTTTCTCGACCAAACGTAACGAGGAAGTATGTTACCGCACAAACAATTCAGTGCTAAATGAATTGCATGTGGTAAAATACTCCTTCAGGACGTTATAAGGTATATACACTGGAAGTATGGCTATTCCCATGCACAGGTGTGCTTTAGGAGGCGATCCTGTTAATGTCCTGATGTGAAAGTCATGCTTGTAAAGTAACATGGCTTAAAGAAAGCTGAAGTGGTTCCTAAAAATATAGTTGGAGGTCAATTCTTGCCTGGTTTTACCCCATGAATCCAAATATGACAATTATTTGGTGCAAAATTGTTGGCAAACGCAAGATATCCATGTTTCACATTCACCGTTTATGACGTCAAATATGGGTTTTCGGCTACACAGCGCATGCCACTCCATAAAGGGTCCCTCATTTCATCGAAACTCGCTTCGTAAAATTATGTTTCATGGACAACTTTTCATGAACACACGTTTCGTCAACACAATCGTTTCATTGATGCTTGTTATGCGAATTGCACGCTGTAGGGACATTTCGTCTTGCGTGTATCACTGGGGTATGCATTAACCCACCCACCCGCCTGCCTGCCTGCGTTCACGCCGCTTCGCGGCGGCTCATTACAAAAATGTTAACCCACCTTACCGACACTGCATGAGACTGTCGCAGTGACAGTCTCATGCAGCTTATTACAGAAAAAAAGGTAATCTGAGCTGTCGACGAAACGTCATGCAATGAACTGATTGCCACTTCTCCAGGAGTACTCTGAGTTGCATAGCTTTGATCAGTGCAGTTGGTGCACAAGCTTTTTGAGGACCGTGCACCTGCAGAACAAAAGAGCTCTGTATACGACGTCACAAACTACCACTTTGAAAGCACATTTCAGAGGGGAACGAAAGAATAAACTCGTACCGCACAGCAAGTTTTAAAGGGATACTTCAACGAAATTTGAAATATTCCCGTCGTGTTCAAAAATAGGTTGAATATGATCCACAATATCCGTAAATGACAATCGCACGTTTGTATTTTGAGCCTGGTGGCTATATTTTTCGTTATAAACGGCCCACTCTGGCAAGCGCTCGGAGAAGGCCCAGCAGAGACCACGTGACATCCAACGCAATCGTGACGTAGGTCGTCTCAAGACGATCAAAGCTACGGCGAGACTGACGTCGAGAGGATGGCCTAGTCGTTCCAGCCACCGAAGCGGCTGCTTTTGTAGGAATTTTGAGTGACGGGTTAATCTTCTGTAATCTTGTAGGGGGACAATAGCGACTTCTGCGACACACAAAAGGCATTCTCGGGAAGAGGGGAGTTCCTCCTGCCCCTCTTCTCTCGTCGTGGCCGGAAGCAAGACGACCTCCGTCACTAGCTGTCAAGGTTCCTAGACGGGCATTACAAGCGAGGCGTTAGCGACATCCACCAGGTGCTCTTTGCTAATCGTTTAATTTGTTTTAAAATTCATTTTCGAGACTTTTTTTAACAAGATATTGGTATGTTCTATGTGATACTGCTCTTTTGAACACATATAGACCAAAAAAATGAGCGCCGAAATTTCGTTGTAGTATCCCTTTAAGCATCTCGAAAACAATTTGCACAAAAGACGAGAGAGGGACAGGACAAGTGGCACTATCGAAAAGAATGTGTCACTCTGAGATTCAAAGAAAGGCAGTGTTGCATTTTGATGCTCTAGAAAGATGAACAACCCTCTAGAAGAGAAAAGGAAAGAAAAAAAAAATTAACAAACCGACTTTCTTCTCGTAATTCTCTTAGCACGCATTAAACAGTCAGTCAATACTAGATGGTAACGCTTGTTGCCATTTCTGTTCTTATCCTCTTCTTTTGCAATGTTTTCGAGATGACCAAACTGGCCCAACAATACACTTTTAATTAATTTCCGATACGACAACATATGCTGGGATTTCATGTGGCAGCTCGTGCTATTAGAGGACGAGTGTATTCCCTTTGTGCAATCGCAATAGTCACCATTGGTGCGGATGCAAATTTGTGGTAATGAATTGTCGTCTCTTTTCAGATTTTTTAGTCTTTAAACGAGAGCTTGAATTATATCTTTTCTGCTCTAGGCCCAAACCGTATTTTGTAACAGTGGTAGGCATTGTTATTGATTTTTCTTCTGTACAAAAGGTAGAAAACCAAGCGAGCGCACTTACCTTTCAACAAATTGAACTTTAACTTGTCACGCCTCGCGACGATCCCGTGTTTCGCTTCAAAGTGGCGCAGCAAGTCCCCAATGGAATGCAAAAGCTGTTGGACACAGATCGCATGCAAGGCGGCAGCGGACAGTGTGATCCAGCTCGTGTCAGCGTCCCCGTGAACCTCCTTTAGGTAGATTTTCTTGAAGCACATGTCACAAATCATGCACTTGTACTTATGCCGTGTACTAGTCGCCGTTGTCACTTTGCGACGATGTTTCTTCGCTGTCCACAGAGGTGAGTGCGCGTCGTCGGCTTTGGGAGGGTCGTCTTCCGAGCACCGCTTTGCGAGCTCGTCGGGTCGCTGGGATTGCGAGGCCACGCAGTGCTACTCCGTCCGTTTTGCCATTACTCCCGTTGAAACGGTTCAAACCTGTGGTGCCTGTGGTTCAAACCTGTGGTTCAAACACGCCGCTCCGGCAACCTGAGCACCTGAGAACCGTTGAAAACAGCGAGGCCAGGGTGGCGCCAGTGGGCAAGTCAATCATGATATAGGATAGTCGAGAAATAAACCAGTTAGCTGAGTTTGAGACGTCCCTTTTTGTGTCTGATCCTTCTACTAAAAAGTTTCCAATTTCTTCGACCACAGTCTCAGGCGTTATATGACATGATTATCATCATCATCACTACCATCCGAACGGATTCCCTACGAGCGGTTTTCCCTACACTGGCGTTGTCCCCAGATCTAGGCACGGGCAGATCTCTGGATAGGCGCTCGCCTGCACTTGCAGCACTGGCACTGGGCACAGCTTCTGGAGGTGAGGTTGATTTCAGGTCCTGTTCGACAAACGAGCACCCTCCTTTGCAAGGTAAAACAGCGCTGTGTCTGTGCCTTCCTTGTACCTCTCTTCTTTCTTTTTTTTTTTTCTTGCTGCTGTTTTATGTTGTTAGATGATCCATAGGCGTCTCTATAAAGGTTAGTGACGCTGCTAATGATCAACGAACTAGCCCAACTTTTTTTGCCTTTTGAACCTTTGTTAACACATCTTGTGAATGACATTAACTAAAAGCGGGATCATAACTTGATGTTTTATAAATAAACTTCAAGAGACCCTGCTACCGGGCCGTGGCTTTAGCTAATTCAAGCACGATTAACATGGTGCGAATTTCCTTGCGATTTCGCAGCGGCGGGTTGTGGCGTTGATCACCGCAGCCTCCACCGTGCTCTTCTTGCCGCACGAGCAACGTCACAACTGCAAAATCCCAAGTGAAATCGCACCACTGGTCTATCTTCGATTTTCCGCGGCTTTATTTCTTGATTATAACTCGATTAAATGCAAAGGTACAAGCGAGCTGGACAAGAATGAGGAAAATAGTCCTTGGAGAAGGTAAACAAGAGGGACAAAGGACAAACACCAATCTCCTACACCGCGAGGTGACTTGTGCGCGACCGAAAAAACCCACCTGGTCCGGGTATCGAACCTGGGACCTCTGCTTTTCCACTGGAGCGCTCTACCAACTGAGCCAACCAGGGGTCAGACGTCAGTAGAGCAAACAGGTTTCGGTCTCTCTTTAGTCACCTAGCTGTGTTTGGAGATTTGTGTTTGTCTATTGTCCCTCTTGTTCCCCTTCTCCAGGGATTATTTTCCTCATGCTTTATTTCTTCTCGCTCTCGTTTCAAAAGCTGGTTAACTCGGTGAGAGGATTGATTAGATTGTCTGCGTGTGAAGCTCCCATCACCCAAAGTCGTACAAATTAAACACTCGCATTCTAATTTTTTTTTTTTTTTTTTTTTTATATAGAGAGGTTTATAGTAAAATTAGTTTCTGCCTACAGTTGAAATGTGGCGCTTGCCTTCGATTTTCGACTTGCTTGGTGTGATCGGCTGGGTGGCATGACATCCGACTTCTTAGATTATTGCAAAGGGATGCCTTTCTTGTTGTCTTCTCGCTAGAAACGAAGGCTGCAAACTGGTTCGGTTGTTGTAACCCATGGGCAATGTCTGTTGTTGCTGAGCCTAGCAAGTACCTTTCTGGAAGAAGGCAGTAACAGCATGTAACCAAAATACTAAGAATATAAATACTACCACACATGCTCTTGTTTATTATTATTATTAGTTTGAGCATGTGAACGACTTGCATTGACGTCGCAGCTGCCATTGTGGCGGCCTTGCCGCTGATATGCATGCCCTCTATGGTATTTATTTCGCACAGCAAATTTCTTTTCTGTTATAACAATTAAGTAGGGGTGACCACCGACAATGATGTCATGCGCGGAGTGTCGAACTGGAACCATCCTGTTATTTTTAGCCAAACGAGCTGAACCAAAATCATTGCCATCATCTCGGAACTGAACCGGAAAAAAGATATAATGGTAACCAGATCTGAAAATATAAAATTGCCAGCTCTATTTCCATGTGTTTTTCAAATTGTCATATAGAGAATTGCAATGTATGAGAAATATTGGGTTTTTTGGCACTTTTGTATTGGCACTATGATTAATCATGTGTCATTTGACATTATGGTGTCAAGACATGCTGTCATGTAATGTCACATCATGTGGCCCCGTGACGTCACTTGACATAGTAAAGTAACTCGCTTTGTCCAATTAATTTAAATTCAAACTGTCTCTAGATATGTCAGCGTTGTTCGCACCGTGACTCCACGTGACATCACGACTTTGTGCTGCGAGTCACACGATACCGTGGCATACTCGATCGTCATAAGCCTAAGTCAAGTGCTCGAGTTCATGCACCATTGTTAAACATTCGGGTAATTGCTCGAGTTCAATTCAAGATGAGAATAGCCCAACTCAAACAGTGTCTGACGCTCAGCCTGTGCTCTATGCTTTTCAAACCCCAGTGCATGACTATGATGATCACTGACGGTATATAATTAGCGTCAGATCACGTGGACCCTTCTTTTAGTTGCGAGTTGAGGAGGGAAAAACTGTTTATGTCCTTTATGTTTTCTGCATCTGCCATTGCGCAGAAAAGAAAACAAATTTCTGTTTTTGCAAGTTATCAACATCAGGGACTAGTTCTTTATGATATTTACTGAAAGTAAAGTAAGGGCCCAAAACAGGTACACGTAAAACCGAGTATAACATCAACCTCCTGAAGCAGTATTTCTCAATGTTTCGGGTTCGTGGAAGCTGATGCCCAAGTGTAATTAAGGTTAGGATTATAAGAATCTCCATCTGTCCTTTGCACTATATATATGTAATTAGGAATATCATATTATGTATCTATGTATTTCTTTTTACAGAAAAATATTGTGTATTGAATTCTTTTGAAAAACATAATTTTTATCTTTTTCTCTTTCTGCACATGTCGTGTATTTGCCTTCAGATCTATCATGCGAGTGCAAAATCCTTTTTGGCACACCCCGTGACCACTGTTTCACACTGCCAAACAGCGCACAAAAAAGCATGTTTCTGCAGACTCAACAGCTGGTGTATTTTCGAGTATTGTCCTCCCGTGTCGGTCTCAAGCGGTTATGTGAACCTCATACAGTTGAATTTATTGCTAATAATAAAAATATGTTGAATTATTTGTTGTGTTCCAAGACACAACAAACTAGAGTTTGCCACAATTGACAATAAGACGGCCAGCCACCAAGGCATTTTGAAGACCATTGCATATCTAAATAGTGATGGCCAACTAGAGTTTGCCACAATTGGCAATATTTTTACTTCATCATCCCAGTGTGAATACCCCATTATGGGGTATTCACACGAGGGAGAAGTCCCGGGGATTTCTCTCTGGCACCTGCACATCACGAGATGAAAACGCGAGGCTTTTGCACATCGCAAAGCTTGACATTTTCGTCGTGGGATGCGCGTGCCGGGGAGAAATCCCCGGGATTTCTTCCTCGTGTGAGTGCCCCTCCAGTGGCGTCTTTAACGTGCACCACGCAGTAGTAATTACACGAACACGTGCCGGTACCACGACCTACGCCGGTACGAAACTCATCCAGGTCGAAATGGGCAGCGGGTGGGGGTAACTTCATTTTTTATTTCAAGGTCCGTCGAATGTAACTTTAATTTTCACATTGGGTTCCGTCGGGCGTAACTCGAAACCTTGGGGTAAAGGTACGTCGGATGTAACTTTAATTTTTATTTGGAGTTCCGTCGAAAGTAACTTTAATTTACATATGAAGTTCCGTTGGACATAACTCGAAACCTTGGGGTAAAGGTACGTCGGATGTAACTTTAATCTTTATTTGGAGTTTCGTCAAAAGTAACTTTAATTTACATATTAAGTTCCGTCGGACGTAACTCGAATCCTTGAGGTAAAATTACGTCGGACGTAACTTTAATTTTTATTTCAGGTTCCGTCGGACGTAATGCTAGACACTGCGTATAAAAAAAGAAAAATTTCCTTTGGTTCGCGATAGATTTTTATCTTATGGACACCGGGAATAGGTGCGTAGAACACCCGTCGACCACCTTTCTCTCAGCCAGTTTGCTGATTCGGGTATCCTTTGTTTGTGTGATTAGGATCTATGATCTGCTAAATGATCAGCATGGGTTCTGACGTGGATACTCAACAGTGACACAACGTTTTCACATGATTCATGAATTCGCTTCTATAGTGAACAAGGATATCCAGGAGGATGCTATTTTTTTTAGATTTCTTTAAGGATTTTTAGGAGTCAAAAGTCTCACACCGGAAATTACTACACTGAGCTAAACAGGTACTAAAACATGATTGTCTGTTACAATGGATGGACGCTTACAGTATGTTATTGTTCATATTGTGAAATCTGTAGAATTATCCATTCTTTCAGGACTACCCAAAGCTTGGTACTCGGTCCTTGGCTTTTCTTGTGTTTATTAATTATCTGAAGGATGACAAGCCCACAGACAGTGTGGGTTTTTTTTTTTTTTTTGCAGACGATTGTGTTTTGTTTATTAAAGTGTCCTTTTGTGCCTATCAGAAATGTTTTGGTGGTAACCTTTATGTAGTATTTTCCTGTTGTCAACTGCAGCAAATGAATTTAAATGTGAAGAAATGTGCACAAATGATATTAACACTGGAAAGGTGTGCACTTTTGTTTGTTTATGCTACCAACTTTGTGCCTTTAGAAATCGTCACTTAATGCAAGTGTCTAGGTGTGATCATTATGCCTAATTTAAGTTGGTCTGTGCATATTTTAAACTTAGCTATTGCGTCTTGAAAACTATGGTATTTACGCAGGACAGTGAGTCGTCATGCTTCTGTAACGAAGCTCGTGGCATACACGTCTTTGATGTATTCTTTACTTGAATATGCAAACGTTCTATGGGATATCCACATTCCCAATAATTTATTGACCCATTAAAAGGCATTCATAAAATGCCACTACAATTTATAACGTTAACAACACGGACACATCCGTGTCATCCTAAACCATATCTGTGTTCCAGTTATCGACTCGCAGAAATGTAAATCGTTTGAATTTTTCGTACTACATAGTACACAATAAGATTGGCTCGAAGTTCGAGGACTATCTGAGGTGCACAGTAAAGGCCGTGACACAAGGCAAAAAAAACAAAACAGGATGAACTAATCCTTGAGTTTCAACGCCGAAATTACATTTCTAAATATTGGTTTTTTCCAAGGTCCGTCCACGACTGGAATGGTTTGCCTTCTATACTTCGTTTGACCTTAACTGGAGACGCAGCCAATGCTACCAGCTGGTCGTACCAATCAGACAATGTCAAAAGTGCACTGTCATGGTGTCCATAAAGTTTCGGTATGTTTTCTGTCATCACACAACGATCCTACACAGAAACGGCCTAGTGACTTGCGCTTTTGACGCTGTTTGATCGTTCCATTAGTATGGGCTGCGTCTGGACTTAAGCTGAAACGAAGCATTGCGAGCATTGCTACCTTTGAATCTTTTGCTCAAGATTGAAGAAAGAATAGACGTGTAAGACAAAGACGACACAACCACATCTTTCAAGGATGTGGAAAATGGGGTTGCGTCATCCTCGCCTTACGTGTTTATCCTTTCTTCAAACTTGACCCGCACCAACACGCTCTTTGTAAATTAATCTTTTGCTATTGCTCTAGATTGAATGGTTCAATTGTGAGTGAATAAGAATTGTGACAATTACTACATCTTGCAAGATAGAATGTCAGTTTATGTGTTTTTGTATCATTTTCTGCCCTCCTATTGTGTACTTCTCCGTGCCTTGGCCGGCAGTATTCTTCAAATAGATAAATATTCACAAGGTGTTTCTCACACATTTGAGAAAATGCGCTTCTTTTTCATATTTGTATTCTTACATTTGAACACACAAAAAAAAATGTCCACAAGTATAACATCAGGATGAATAATGTAAATTCTCGCGCATATATATAACCTTCCACCCGTTCTCCACATTTGTTTTTCTTATTTCTTTTGTTATGTTTTGTTTCTTTCAGGGGCCCCGTGTCACCTAGTTCCGGCCCTGGATCTTGGTGTGCAGTCCCACACTGGTAAGTCCATTCAAATGGTATTTCTTTCTTGGTGAGTTCTGTGAGGCATTTAGTTTTTCTGGAGTAGTCCTTTATGAATGCTTGAAAATGACCGGCCAACTGGAGGAAAACTCGCAGAGAATGAGTGTCATACGGTCTCATCAACTTGGATACGCGATCGACAAATACCTGCTTCATTGTCTTTGCAGAGCCATCAAAAACTTGACCCAGTTAGACGGCCCTGGGCTGAAAAAACTCGCCTTTCTTAGCATTAATCTTTAAATGCACAGCGCTCAAAACTTCAAGGACCTTTGCGAGGTGTTCTATGTGTTCTACGGCAGTCCTCGGAGTAGATGACAACGTCATTAATGTAGAGATTGCAAAACTGGCTTATAAAGGGCTTCCAAGACCCGATTCATTACTTATTGAAACCAGGCTGGAGAGTTTTCACCCGAACAACAGCCAGCTGTACTCGTATATGTCAAATGGAATCTTAAAGCTGTGTACTTTGTGTATTCTTCCTGTTATGGGACTTGCCAGAAGCTTTTGCACAAGTCGATGCATGAAACCATCTCGCAGCTGCCAGTCTCATCGGTGATGGCTTCGATTCGCGGCATAACAAATGGAAATAGATGGGTTTGTTGGTTAATCATCCTGTAATCCATGCACAGACGACACGACCCATCCTTTTTCAGAACAATGCAGTGGTAGAACTTCTGCACCATTGGCGCCAAACTGTGTGAGAACAAAAACCCTGCTACATGCTGCTTCAAAGGTTGTATTTGTGCACTATTTGCACCATGTCTGTGCCAAAAGGGAGTGTTCTAAGAAAGGAAACAAAGTTTATGGCTCGTGGCATTCTTCAAGATGCCACTAAAAATGATGAAAGTACAGTCGTTGTTTCTTCAGATCCCTAAGTACTATGTGCAAAGAATAGGGCTGCGCGAACATTTGGATTCTGAAATACTAGTTTCAAATTATACGCTTTGGCTCGTGACATTCTTCGCGATGCCACTGAAAATGATGAAAGTACAGTTGTTGTTTTTCGGATGCCTAAGTACCATGTGCGAAGAATAGGGCTGCGTGAACATTTGGATTTTCAAATACTAGTTTCAAATTATACGCTCTGGCTCGTGGCATTCTTCGCGATGCCACTGAAAATGGTGAAAGTACAGTTTTTTTTTTCTTCAGATGCCTAAGTACTATGTGCAAAGAATAGGGCTGCACAGACATTCGGATTATCAAATACTAGTTTCAAATTATACACTATTTGACATTCGCTTCAAAATTAACTGCGATATTCATACTTTTCAAAGCGTTGATTGCGGTGGGTTAGCCCCCTTCAGTGTACTTCTCCTTAAACACCGATGCATTGCAGAGAAGCACTACCCGCAGAGCTGACACCGCGATCTAGCGACTCGCTTCACCGCAGCGCTAAGAACAGTAGCAGTTTGAATACGAGCAAGGGCAGCGTGAGACACTTCAATGCAAAAGTGTCCGTTTGATGTCAAACTCGCGACAATTACCTCACCATGATGCAAACCGCACAAAGTAGCCAAAACCTCTTTTTTACGTCAAACACAAACTGAAGATACTGTCAGCACTCCGAATAGGTTAATTGAGACGTCTAAAAAATTACCGGCGTATGATTGTTTAATAAATATCTGTAGTGGCCAGGTCGCGTATTAGCAAACTATATCCCGTACAGTGCCTGGCCACGCCCCCTTCGGCGCGACACAAGAGCGGCAATTCAAAATGTCACGTGACATGACGTCACTTCCGCGCCGTTTGAACTCATTTAAGCGCGTTTTCGTCTCGTCAAGATGGCGTCCGCCGCTACGCTGGTGGGTGAGACGCGCGTTACGCTGCGCCGCTGTAAACACTTCGTTTCACGCGCGTGCCTAGATGACTCGAATGCTTTCAACTTAGCGATGTGAACTCGTTTTTCGGTAAGATGAACGCCCAGGACTGCACGCCGAGATGATGCCACCGCATACGCGCCGCTGCCGAAGTCGCCCCTACGAGTACGACCACTACGATCGTCGAAGTTCGCCCGCTGCACCGTGGCACCAAATCCTAGCAACTAATGCTTTCACCTCGGCAATGTGAACTCGTTTTTCGGTAAGATGAACGCCCAGGACTGCATGCCGACATAATGCTACAGCGTACGCTGTAGCATTATGTCGTGAGATGCGCAACTCCAACCTACTGCGGTACATTTACTGAAGGTGTCAGTCATTCTGAGGGGCCCGAGTACTTTGATGGTGATAGAACGACACCTCCATCGCTTTCCGAATTCGCACTGGAAAGCGCGTAGACATCAGGCGCACAGCGCGCCCGTGTCACGATTAGGCGCAAATTCGCGTAACGAGAACATATTCACGTATAAAAAGCATTGCGTCCGCGTCGAGCCGTCCTCCTGTTAGCATTTGGTGCTACGGTGCAGCGGGCGAACTTCGACGATCGTAGTGGTCGTAGTCGTAGGGGCGACTTCGGCAGCGGCGCGTATGCGGTGGCATCATCTCGGCGTGCAGTCCTGGGCGTTCATCTTACCGAAAAAACGAGTTCACATTGCTAAGTTGAAAGCACTCGAGTCATCTAGGCACGCGCGTGAAACGAAGTGTTTACAGCGGCGCAGCGTAACGCGCGTCTCACCCACCAGCGTAAACCGGCGGACGCCATCTTGACGAGACGAAAACGCGCTCAAATGAGTTCAAACGGCGCGGAAGTGACGTCATGTCACGTGACATTTTGAAAACCAATGAAATGACCACTTTTGCGTCACGCCGAAGGGGGCGTGGCCAGGCACTGTACGGGATATGGTTTGCTAATACGCGGCCAGGTCCCCTGTAGGCATGATACCTTAAATAGTCTCCCAACACTCCAACAACCAATTTTTTTCCACAGGCTAACTTTTAAAGAGATTGTATAAAATTTTTGACATGAAAGCTCAAAATTGTCTGCTCCAAAGTGGGGTCTCTGCCCCAAAACTTGTTGTTCCCTGCTACAAAAGCTGCTCCAAATCACCATTTGTCAGTTCCACCACTGACAATGGTAACTGGTGACTGCGAAACTTCAAGGAGATGGGTGTATTGTTTTCGCGTCTAGGCATCTTCCGCAGCTCCGACTTTAGCCATGCCTTCTTCTCTCTCAACATGTTGCAGGGTTTCCCCTTGACAACCGTTGTGTCCCTTAGTTTAAAGGGTACCTCGATTGCTGTAGTCGCTCCTTGAAAATCTCCGAGACATTGGAGTTCCGTGTACACCTGTGTAACCTTTTCTGCTGATTTGGGTTTGTGGAGAGCTCTTTCTGGAGTCGGCTGTGCGTCTTTAAAGACTTACGCTTTGTCTATGCTGACCTCTCCAGTCCAGTCAGGGACTGGTCGAGACAACAGGAGTTGATAGGCAACATTTTGTATTACCACTGCCTTGACTTTGGCATGGTTTCCTTGATAGGAGATAATTTGTCCATTTGCTGTACACTTGCTTTTCACTGTTGTAGCCCTGCACCTCAATGGGTTCATCAGAAAATGTCTCGGCGTCCTTGACGTGCTCTTTGATAATTACAGCGACAATTGCTCCTCTGTCGACTGAAGCTTCAAGCTTGTTTTCATTTACGTCGACCGAGATGTAAAGAAGGTTAGCGTTGTTCAAGAAAACAGTTTCTTTTGACATCATTGGCTAGAAACTGGAGCCCTCTTTTATCAGTATTTTGCATCGCAATCTTCTTCCCTGGCCTCTCCGACGTCGTCCTTTTGGGACATGTTGACGGTGTTGGGGGTTGGCTTTTTTGTCTCCAGTTATTGAGGGGAGTACTTCGTCCAAATGGTCTCAGTTGACCAAGTGCCAGAGCTTCCAGCGCTTTTGTGTGATGACACGCTGGGCTTTGGTGGAACCAAGCAGTCAAATAACTTTCTGCCACTTCTGCGTGTTGGTGAATCCAGACACAGTTGTTGCATATATCTTAGCCGTTCCACAACGTTCATGGGAGTTTTAACCTGGACTTACTTTTATAGGTCCCTCGTCAGCCCATGAATAATTAAAGGAACCAGTGAAGAGTCTGCTAGCTACACAAGCATCCTCTTCTGAAAAAAGTATGGTAGCGCAGGTCCCTCCTTGTACTTGTAGGCTATCGCGTGATCCCACGCTTGTACCTTGTTCTCACCAAAAGAGGAAAGAAAATTGTCTCGCCATTCCTGCTCTGACTCATGCTCGTGCGAAAGCATGCAAAGCTCATAGCACTTTTTCGCCATGCCGTCGAAAAAGAGACGCAAGTTCCTTTGTCTCCATCTGTCTTCCAGTTTTGCCCACATGCATACTTGTAGAAATTAATCCAGCATTCCGGGCTGCTAGAAGCTCCCTCAAAGGTGCCTGGCTTCACCAGCTTAAAACGTGGCTCATTCGCCACCTGCATTGTTGAAGCAGTCTGAATTGCTAGATCATGTGTTGTTATTGCAAACCAAGCAGCCTCGCAAGTAGAGGGTCTGTGTCTTCAGACTGCACATTTGTTGGCGTTAACCGAGTGGGTTTCAAAACTAACTTCTGATGATCTGACAGTTTTATGTTTATCTTGACCTCGCCTTTTTCTGAAACGTCCTCCAGGCTTTAGCCTGACTTTTCAAGTAGATATTGAAGGAAGGCACTGGTGCTTACCATCGGCAGTAACGTGACGAGCTCTTCATCTTGCGGCTGAACTTTCATGGAGCGTATGCCTCCCCTGTTATCACTTTAGCTTCGAAGGCCATGCACATCTTCAGGTAACTTCCACTTACTGCGATCCTGTCAACTGTGCCATATTGTAGTGTTCCAAGACATAAAACTCAGAACCCACATTAAAAAAAGAACGGTCACCATCTTTTCGTTTTATTTTATATCCATTTCCTTCTCTTCTTTTCCTACTCTAGTCCTCGTCTTCTTCGGTCTTCTTACATTATTGATTGGAGATTTGACAACATAAATAAAAGGCTCATCACTTTAAAATATACATCATAAGTAAATGCATCCCCAAACTATCTGAAACATATTCTGCAAATCTTTTTCGGCGTTTTCGGCGTTTTTAACTTTAATAGGCATGTCTATGAGTGATTTGGGAGAGCCTTCAACAAATTTTTGAATTTGAAGCTGATTTAAATAACTAAATGGTTTTGACACATACCACCTCTCAAACATATAGAAGTATGCTATTGCCTCTTTTATGGGATGAATAGCAATTTTATGTGTGTGGGCTGGACAAAATAAAAGTGCACAGGGGCGCATGCCGTCAGAAAGTGACCAATTAAGCAGCTGTCGTGTCGAGTAGAGCTGGAAATACTACTTTGTTCTATTTAGCAAAAAATCACCAATTAGCAAGGGTGATGCCTATTTGAAGATAGAATTGACCGACACATTGTCAAGAACAAACCTCAACAGGAGCCAGGCTATGCTGTTCATCTTGTATAAGAAAATGTTTGCTTGGGCACGCGCTATTTTGCTTCAGATTAGATCTGAGGGCGAAGGTGCGTATAGATTTGACTAAACAATTTCAATCACTCCTTTCTGCACGATTCTTTGAGTGCATTACATTGCTGAGTGTAAACAATTTTGGCTAGGAAAACGAGCGTCGTGATTGCCAGTCAGTGTTTCTATAAAAAGGCTTTTCTTTTAAAGCTTTTGTGACATTTAAAAAGATATTATTGCTTTTAGCTCAGTTGCATCGTCACCATACCTACATAGTGTTAAACTTATTCGTAAACTGTATTTCACGACGTGTGGCGATGCAGTGCCAATTCTGTAATTTTATGTGCTGTAATTAATTGCTTAGTTTAAGAGCACAACTATGATTCAACTTTGAATATTATGACGCAAAGTTGTACCAATTGCATGTATTTTAGGCAACCAACCACACTTCAGGACAAGCTTTCGACTCTGACAAATTATATGCGACTGAGGTTAAGAAATTGATGTTGAGTCATATAAAAACAATGTTTTAAATGTTAATGTGGAGATTAGAAACAATGAAAATAAAACTATATAGTTACTCTTTTCACGGCAAAACTAGTGCCTGTTGCCAAAACAATGCAGAAAATATATTCTCGGTTTAGCGGTTTGAAATGGTTTAAACTGTTACCTTTGCTCCTCGGAGCTGAACCGAAACTGAACCGAAAGTCGTCAACCCTAACCCGAAGCACCAGGGAGCATGCTACGAGTGTAGTTGCACGTGCTGCATGTGCTGGAGTTTGCAGCAATAGCTGTTTTAATGCAAAAACCTAAAACAAATGTGCCATCTTGGACGCTCATTTGTGAACGCCTTTTTTTGGTTATTTACTTCAAATTGTTTATACCGGGAAGGCGAGCGCGTGCGGCACATTAACCTACATTCCCAGCACTCTCGCTGATGCTCAGGTAATTTAGCAATAGTTCTATTACTATACCTGGTGTCATCTATTTTGTGCGACATTGTCGAGGCTAGCGTAGCTTCCACAGCATTCTTATTATTTCGAAGCTGGTTGCGCATGCGAGAGGATGCCACGAGCCCTGGCTGCAGCGCATGCCTGCTGCACTGTGGAAGCTACGCTAGGCTCCACAATGTAGCATGAAATAGTTGACGCCAAGTGTAGCTGCAACGATTAGGTCTCGTAAATATTGGGCACTCGACCATCAAAGTATATGTCACTCTAATGTAAACTACTTGCCTGTACCATGGAAAGTTTTTAGCGGCACTTGAAACATTTGCAAGGAGGACAAACCAACAGCTAGCAAACCTAATTTGATAGCGGACACTGCGTTAAATTGGAAGTGGCCGACAACATTACTCCGAAGGATATTTCTTAATGCGTTAGCATTAGTGCCCTGGTACATGCGCCAACCTTGAACTCGTTGGAGGGCATGTATTCAAAGTTCACAACATCGCCACAAGATGGCGCCACAGCCCCACGTAACACCTAGCAACCGAGGATTGCTGGTGACGTCCCCCTTCTCCGATTCCGGCGCCGTGTAGCGAGGGACGTCAGGTGCATCACTGAGGCATGTGTCGATCCCCCCCTGTCGTTCTCGCCGCTTAGCGGCGACAGTCCGCGCATGTCTCCTTAGAAAATGTCTACCCACCTTGGGCCACCCGCACATTCTGCCTTGCTGCACCCCGCCGGCGGCCCAACTACACCCTAGCTCCGCACCCAGCACCGAACCTCGCTTGCTAGGCGTTGTGTCAAGCGGCGGGTGTGTGGGTGCGTGCTTTCGATGCCCTTGGCAGCTCCTGCTGTTGGTTTTGGAGACCCTTGTACGCACGTGGGCTGAGGTTTTGTTCTTCGGCCTGCCACGCCATTCTTGACGCGCAGTTGTCGTACGATGTCACCGGGCCGTAGGCGCACGGTGTCGTCGGCCCTCTATGCACAACAACAAAACGAATAATGAAAAAACAGTTAGGGCGTAGGCGAGCTGGTGTAAGTTCCACCCAGTCTCAGGTGGTCTAAAAAAATGGTAAACAAAACGAATCTGTCATTATTTGCGCATCGAGCGCAGGCCCTTCGTGCACACGCTAAGTGGCCTGATCCGCTTGCACCTGGGAGAAGAGGGATTTCGGGAATGTTCACCCTGCAGAAAAGAACTGAGAGGCTGCATTCGCCTTGCTTTCTTATATATAACCGCTATGCGAAATGCTTACTCATTTATTTGAGAATTGGCGTGGCAGCAGGGCAATTTCGGCCCATCTTTGTTTACTTTCCAGCGAATTCCAGATCTGCTTTTTTTTTTTTGTGTGTGTTTGCAGTTTACCTTTAGCTTGGCGAGAAATGCTTTTCGTCCACCGGTTCTGAATTCGCTTACAAAAGGGGAGGGGGTTCAGTGGGCGGATGCGTTAATGCACCGCAGCTCGCATGACGTGGATGAAACCTCGTGCTGCGGAGCCCAGGGATCCAAGGTTTCATTCCCGCCGCTGCCGGTTTCGGTCTTTATGATCTTTGTACTGGCGTGTGGCCGTATGTCGCTATTGCATTATGCACTTTACATATCCACGGTTAGCGGTCATACTGCATTGGCAGAATTTCCGATTTACGGTGGAGACGACAGACGCCCATTGGGGTTCACTAACCTCTTGCTGTCTAAATGTGCATCACGATTACGGTTGCAGGAGCCTCGTGGAAAGCGACTTGGCTTCAATGAGACGGCGTTTGGGGAGTCTTTGGAGCCTGACCACATCTAGCTGCTCGTATGGAACCGAATCAGTCAACAAGTAACGGTAAGCTCATGGTTTCCGCCTCATTAGTGAACATAGATCAGTGGTAGTTCCTAGACTACAACCGACCATAGTCTAGAACAACTCTTGTACAGCGATTTGCGGACCCCTAGGTGTCCGTGCTGATTTGGGGATCCTCCATAAGGAAGGCATCTTCAGTAGAGTTCAAATCTCAGAAAAAGGTGTGCACGGTGATAAGGGTTGGGCTTGGGGTGGAGGAAAGTAGCAAACTAGGAATTTTAAGAGCGGCCTGTGCCAGTCATGAGCGAAGCTTGGGCAAGCTAAATGTTAAATTCTTATACGTGATATTCCGGGCACTTCAAAACACCAATTGGATTACAAAAAAAAAAAAAAATTAAGAACATTAGAACCGGAAAGAATTTTCAGCCGTCTTGACAGGCGGATGAAAATTCTTTCCGGTTCTGGTGTTCTTAATTTTTTTTTGTAATTCAATTGGTGTTTTGTGTTCTGTGTACCCAGTGGGCTGTCCCTATTCGCACTCCGAGTGCGGATAGTGGTTGATTCTAATCCACACTCCGAATGCAGATAATTTTGAATTCTTATCTGCACTCCGAGTGCGGATTGTGTTGGATTCTTATCCGCTTCCAAGTGCGTGCGGCGGAGAACTTGGCGTGTGGCATGGCGCGACTTGGTTGCAGGAAACTTTAAATATAGTGACTTGCAATGTTGTGGTGTGACATTGGCTTGTTGGCAGCGCCGATTCCATAGAAATATTAGTAGTTGTGCGATGTTTAATTGGGGGAAGACCTATGTTTCGGAAAATGCATAATCGTAAACATATAATTAAAACAGCGCAAACGAGTACAACGGCAAGTAGAAGAAGGTACACAGACACAGCGCTGACTCACGACTTACTATCTTTTTCGTCTTCTTAAAACGCATCGACATAAGAAGACGTGGGTCAGCGCTGTGTCCCTTCTTCTACCTGTCCTTGCGTTCGTTTGCACTGTTTTAATTATATGTTCTTTATGCACCACCGACTAGCTCACCTCCAAACATTACTGCAAATGCATAATCGCATCTTTTTTTTTCTTTTTTTTTTTTCGAAATTGATTAGCGCTAATGGCGCATTTGGGTAAAGAATGAACTGTACTCACACCTCGGAGACTTGAAAAAAGGCATGAAAGCAGGAAATAAAGAATCCTATTTTTCCTTCAGTATCTTTTTTTTCTTTTGTTAAACAAATTATTATTTAAAAAAAAAAAATGGAAGCTTTGCCACAGTTAGCACATAAACATTGCATGGTGCTTAGCTGGTGGGGGCAGTAATGTAGGAACGGTGGGCGGCGAGCAAACAATTTTCAAGACACAATTGCCCCCCCCCCCCCCCCCATGCACACACACACACAGATGTTCCAAACTTCCGCTGCCGCCGCGCCCAAAACCCGCAACTTTTAACAGCCATCACATCTATAATTGTCTACTTATAAACGAACAAATCATTCTATTAAAAAAAAAAAAAGCTACAGAAACAAATGGTTGGGGACTTTTTAGGCATTCCCCCATCTAGTAGCGTTGAAAGTGTTCAGAAGACGTGTATTGTCTTGTGCTGAGATGACGGGGGCAGTGGCATAGGAAGGGGGGGGGGGGGTTCTTTTTTAAATATTATTGTTTATTGGAAATGACTAATTTTCCTGCTGCCCGCCCCGCCCCGCCCCGTCCCCCCCCCCCCCCCGTTTTTCTATGCCACTGCCCCCATCACCTAAGCACAAGACAATAAGGGAAAAAAATTGTGCACTGCTCTATAGTCCGTTGCAACCTAAGAACGAAGGGCGAGGGTAAGTTGGGCCGGGGAGCAGGAAGCGGACGGAACGCTGGAGAAGAGAGGGGGAAACCTCCTTCTCTCTTAGCCTTCTGTGTGCTTCCTTCTCCTCGGCCCGTCTTACCCTCACCCTTCGTTCTTAGGTTGCAACGGACTATAGTTTCTTTTTTTCTTTCGTCAATAAAAATGTTTAACCCTACAAAAAAAAAGTATCGCTAAAACTTTTTTTTTTGGGGGGGGGGGGGGGGGGGGGGGAGGCTGATGTGTTTGGGATGTGCCTGAGTCTTGGAGTGGGTAAAATATTAATAAAAGGGTTCACCCCCCTCCCCCTCCCTCCCCCCGCCACAAACATACACACACATGGATCGCCTGCGTTCGATCCCCAAGGCGTGAGTACTTATTTGTCTTTCAATAAAAGCAAAAACATTTGCTTAAAATTATTCTAATTCTGAAGCCAGCACCACCAATATTTCCATAGACTTGTCGAGGCTGCATAAAAGCCAGTGTCATTCACAACACAAAGTTGAGAACTTCTAAACCACTGTGTTCATAGTTTCCCGCGCCAAAATCGCGCCACACACGGGGTGCAGGTAAATAAGATCCAACACATTCGACGGCTTCGTGCTGACGTCTTCATACCCCAGTCGCCCCAGTACCCCCGCCCGCACCTCCGCACGCAATCCGCACTCACGCACTCGGAGTGCGGATTAGAATCCACCACTATCCGCACTCGGAGTGCGAATAGGGACAGCCTACCTAGTGCCTACGATGATGCCATAGTGTTGTGCGGTTGACTGCACAACTTTGATTTGAGAGATCTCCGTGAAATAAAAAAGGCTGTGGACCGTGGCCTGTGGGGCATAGACTGGGGCTCTATTGTGGCCAGTCACTTCAAATATGCGTCTATTTCACGCAAGCACTAGGAATCCTCGCTGTAATTTCATATCAAGGTTGCACACATCTCACTGTTCCACGGGGTGAAAAGACTCGCATATAAAGATTGAATGTCTGCCACATTCAAACATTGAGACGACGAAAAACATAAATAAATTTGTTTTAGTCTGAGGCATATGCTGCCATAAGTGTCATACACCAAAACTATTTTTAGATACCAGGTTTTCATAATGCAGACCAACTTGGTGCTGCGTGAAATACTTAATAGTACAATAATAATAATAATAAACATTTTTGTTTTGTTAAAGCAAAAAGCTTTAAACTCACGCTCACAGAAAATGAAGATTGAATTTTGGGAACATGCAGGGACGGCGCCAGGATCTTCATAATGGGGGGGGCAGTGGGGAGGGGAACCAAATTGGGGGGGTTGCTCTGAGGTGCTGTCGCCCACGGGCTTATCGAAGATAGCTTACGCGGTGTGCTCATTGAAAAGGGAAATGGGGAGGCACGAGAAGGAAGAGGGGGGGGGGCGGTATATCAGTCGGGACCTCTGCCCCCTGTGCTCAGACTCACAACCAAGGTTTGCTTCCCTTTCTGAGACTGTCCGGAATTCCCCATGGCCTCGACTTTAACTAAGCTCCCCTTCGTTCACGTCTCCGGTCTCCGCTAAAGATAAGCACCACAGAGCAGAATACGGAGAGAAAAGCCAGCAGGCGTCACAAAGGGAAGCTGCTTTTTCTAAAGTGCTTGATAGCTTACTCGCCCGCAATACGACTTCCAGTGGCTGGAAGTTAATAGAAAAAAAAAAAAAGGCATGAATGGGTCTAAAGTCTGGACACTCGTTACACTGGGTTTTCAAGCCGACGTCGTGGGCAATTATTTGTGTACAAAGCTGCTTCATCTTGGGGTGGCAGAAGAAATTTGAGGGGAGGCACCTGCCACCCCTCGCCTCCCCTTGGCGCCGTCCCTGGGAACATGCCAGGAGAGGACTGAGGATTCGGATCTTTTGACGTAGAACTGAACATGGGAATCCGCAAGCAGGCACTTTGCCCAAGATAGCCTGAAAGCCACGAAAGCTTTCTCTTCTTTGAGCGCATGCAATTAAATGTTTCTAGAGGCAAAAAATGAGACATAGCATGAAATTATTGGTACCATCCTCCCAATTCTATTACCGCATTTGCATGAATATAACGCGAGGGCAAGTTTTGATTATAATGGGTATTAGCTTGTGCCACCTAGACTAAGAACATAAAAAATGTGATTCTGCCCCTTTTAGGCCAATGCATTTCTGTAAATATCAACGGGCCGTGGGGGTGATTGCTGGGATGAGCCTTAAGGGATAGGGCAAAGAAACCTAAAAAAACATGCACCCCCCCTGCTCATCCCCTATCGAGGGAGTCGCCAATTTTCTGTTGGCGTTGCCCCAACACCAGACCCACTAGGGCACAGGGTTGAGACCTTGGGCCAGAGCCACGAAGGAGGGAGTCCCAATTTTCCTCCTGTCCCCCAGCTGTGCTATTTACCGTATTTACTCGCATTATGAACGCACCATTTTTACCGAAAAATTGACACATATCTGGGGGGGTGTTCATTACACGGGGTAAAATTTTTCCATTTACACACTTCGTGCAAATGTCATATTAGGGGGGCTTCCTCGAACCGATCCGAACCGCGCGTCCGCCCGTCGTAACTGCTGTGGTCGTGGTTGTGGTGGCCGGGGACCCCCGAGAACCATTCTGGGTGTCTTGTTCCCGCAGAAGACGCCGCAAGGCGTGTTTGAGATCCCGTGGCACTTACGTGCCCCAACTTTTGCTTTGCTTTTTTTTAGCTGCGTTAGATGACAGGCGAAAAGGTTGTACTCCGTCTTCTAACGGCTTCGCCCTCCCCTCCCTTTTGGTCAATGTACCTACCCCTATTTTTTGGGACATGTCCGACCCCTGCCTGTTTCTTGCCGTCTTTCGCGTCTATTACCTGAAGAACGTTGTGTATACCTCCTTGTCCGCATAATTTTTCGAGAAGCGCAACCTTATTACTTGAGATTACGTGATTTGGCGCCAATATGACACGCCAAGGTACTGTGGCACATCTTCAGTGATGGAGGCGCACCCACGGCTGGTTGGGGGCGCGCCACAATAACCATGCTCTATAAAACGCAAACCTTTTTAGGGCGCTTTCGGGGTGCCTTTTGCCGAAGGAAAAGCGTCCTATGAAGCTCTTAGGTGATATATATTGCTAGTATCCGGCAGGCACGCTCAGGCATATCCGCGACTATGCGTATAAGCACTCGTATGAAGTCCAATTCCCGACTGCCAAAGCCCGCTCGCATGGATCAAGTTTCGTTCACGGAGACAAGAACTCGTACGAAGTCCAACCGCCGAAGCCCGCTCGCACGGATCAAGTTTCATTCACGGAGAGGCTACCAGACGCTCTCAGCCTACAGTGCATCGTGCACTGCGCTGTGCAGCTTGTTACGGATTAAATAGACGCATTCACCTGGAGCATGTGAAGTTAGGCCTAACCACTTTCACGATTTCACTGTCTGAAAGCAGACCACAGACGACGGCTTGTTTGTTGACATCAATGCATCCGATAGGCAAAGAATGTCCGGGCTCGGCAATTCCTCAAACCAAGCTTCGTCTAGTGTGCACGACACTCGGTTTCACGGTTGATCACTTCCGTAACTACCGCAACTACGCACTCGCGGCCGTTACGAGAGTATGAGAGCGGCTTGGCATGGCTTGGCCTGACTGTTTGGCGGCAAAAGAAAACTGGCTTGGTGGCTTGCTAAATTGGATGCAATTCGAGACTTGCGGATCCGAAAATTGGAGGTGCGTTGATTACGGGAGGGAAAAAGAAAGTCAAAATATTGATGCCCATTGTGGGGGGTGCGTTTATTATGTGAGTTAATGCGGTAGTTGTTCTTTGTTCAGTTTTCTTAGATACTTTCTATTGGCACCCAAACCTCCCATTGCATCTATTTAATGTAAACCACACCTTAATCTTCCCCAGTGAAACTCGGGGCACCTGGTATGTCTGTCACCCTTTTGGAAAGGGCAGCACTGAGCTTCTTCATTTTAGAATCACAAGCTCAAATGTCTCCTTCTTTACTTATTACACACATTTTATCTGTATCTTCAAATCTAGCCCTGTATGTGTTTTTGCAGCCCTGTATCTGTTTCTTCTTAAGGCTCCTGTCCTAGCCTGAGTCAGCAGAGCGGCTCTGAAATTATTGCCTTGCCAAGGCATGCCCACGCTTACCAGACTGATTTTTGACCAAAACGTGGCTGCCTGTAAATGTGCATAGACGTAAGAGGCCAGACAAGCTAGAAAAGCGGCCACAGATGACAAACTTGAAGAGCATTATAACATAAGAGAAGGGAACGTAACGCATTTGTCTGGAAAGCCCCGCTAAATTGTACCATTGTTTGGTGCCAAGGTCATGCCTTTCGAAGGAAGCAAAACCCACAGCAGACAGTGGTGAAACTTTTGGTGAACTCTGTAACCCAAGGGCTTAACTAAGCTCTTTTCTTTTTGGTAGTGGACCCTTTTGTGTCCGTAATAATGAGACAAACCTGCATGTATTTACCCAGTTTGTTCCCAAAACTAGCTGCCCACAGCCTGCACTGCGGCTTTTAATATTCACGAGGCAGGCTTGCAAGGGGGCAGATTGGTTCCCCAAAATTGTGTCTCTATACATGGACTGGACTGATGTCGCATCGCATACTTTTGGCCGCCACGTAAGAGAAGGAGAGTGAAGCTGCTGTTGTAAGAATTTTGGGTGACGGGTTAATCTTCTATAATCTTCTGAGAGGAGAATAGCGACGTCTGTGCAAATCGGGGAGGCACAAAAAAGGATCCTGATAAGAGAAGAGCTTCGTCTTCCCCTCTTTGCTGGTGGTCATCGGAGCGCTCTTTCAATGACGTCACGCGCAACCTGTGTATAGTGGAGCATCCATATAAGTGGGAAATGACATCGCCCTATGTTGGAATTCTTTTACTGATAATTTCAAAGAAGACTTTCGATCTGACCTGCCATAATCAAACTCATTGCCAATTAGAAAACGTCCTAAGTCTCCAGGAATATTGTTTTTGTTCCACTTTCTGAATAATAAAGTATCCAGCCCCCCAAAAGTATTCAGATCCAGATTCTAAATCCAAAGGTACTGTGATGAAAACATTTTCTTCTCTCAAAAAAAAAGAAAATCCTTAGACAACAGGAAATCTCTCGAAAATGATAAGATATGTAACATTTGATTTAGATCAAATAAAACAATGTAGAAAACATTTTTTTTTTTGGATTTTCACTTTTCAAGGCTAGGGACTCCCCTTAATGGTGCCAGTTGCATTTAAAGTGCTCCCGTGAACCGAATTCCAAAGTGCATCACAATATTAATTGGTACAGCTGTGGCAAAACTGCATTAATGACTACTCTTTTTCAAACTAAGTGCCTGTCTTGGTTGGGCTTTCCTTGTGTGTCAATACATATTGTCTTTTCTTCTAGGTGACGGAGCCACATTGTCGGAGAACAGCTGCCCACGAAAAGTCATAGATTACAGTTGGTTCGGATGCTGTTCCTGCACCTTTGTCACCAGAGATCAGCGTGAAATTGTGAGCCATCTGACTGCCCATGGTGATGAACAATCCAAGTGCCACCATCCTTCCATGTCTGGCTCCAAGTCCCAAGTGCTCAGCAACACTCAAACGTACATGACTGATAAGGTTTTCAGGTGCAAGCTGTGTCCTCTAGCCTTTGCTCAGAGTTGCCATCTCACCAACCATAAAAGAACACACACTGGTGAAAAACCTTATAAATGCAAGCTGTGTCCTCTAGCCTTTGCTCAGAGCTGTCATTTGACCAACCATAATAGAACACACACGGGTGAAAAACCTTATAAATGCAAGCTGTGCCCTCAAGCATTTGCTCAGGCTTCCGTTCTGGCCATTCATAATCGAAGACACACTGGTGAAAAACCATTTAAGTGCAAGCTGTGCCCCAAAGCCTTTGCTCAAAATTCCCGCCTGCAAGTCCATAAGCGAACACACACTGGAGAAAAGCCATTTAAGTGCAAGCACTGCCCCCAAGCCTTTGCTCAAAATTCCCATCTGCGAAGCCATTATCGAACGCACAGTGATGAAAAGCCATTTAAGTGCAAGCAGTGCCCCCAAGCCTTTGCTCTAAATTCCTATCTGACAAAGCATAATCGAACACACACTGGTGAAAAACCATTTAAATGCAAGCACTGTCCCAAAGCCTTTGCCCAAAGTTCCAATCTGCAAAGTCATAATCGAACACACACAGGTGAAAAGCCATTTAAGTGCAAGCAGTGCCCCCAAGCCTTTTCTCATAATAGCAGTCTGATCCGCCATTATCAATCACACGGTGTTTAAAAACCTTACAAGTGCTAAAAATGCCCCAAAAAGCTTTGCTCAGAATAGGAGTTCATCTGCCAGAACCAGACGCACACATGCGGAATGCTTTGCCGTTGACCCGTAAGTCGAGTCTGCCCCGTGTGCAGTCATTTAAGTTGTGCAGAACATTATGCCATTTCAATTGCAGTATACATGTACCTGAGTGCAAGAAAGGTCCCAAAGCCTTCACTACGAATAATGGTTCAGCTAGCCACCCTGAAGTGCTTATGCGCAATAAGTTTTAGAAATTCCAGCAGCGTCCCAGGCCATTTTCTAAATGGTCTCTAACACATGAGGTTGACAAACCCTGAGGGCATAAATGGTGTAAGGACAAACACTGAGGGCATTTGTGTAAAGGCTGGTGGCAAGTAATCCTTTCAAATGCCAGCAATATCCTAGAAGCTTCAATTGAAATTCTAGTTTGTTTGGCCACATGGACTGTGCACACAGAGCCAGACTATTTGACCTTGCCCTTGTGCCTCGTCCATATGCCACCAATTGTCATCACACAAATGAATTGGGGTGTGGGAATTGATTCTTCTCTAGGTGTGATGTAGAGGCTGGGTCAATGAATACAAGAGTGTTTTCCAGAGCACTGTCTGTGTTCTGCACCTGAATGGACATTGGGTCATGCTACAGCCTTTGTTCCAAGCTCCCTTGAACCTTAAAAGTACTTTTTGGGCTAGTTGGTGATGAATGTTTTGAACCATGGTTAAAAGTGCTAAAAAAGACGAACACAAGAGAGAAAACAGACACTGGCGCTACTCACAACTGTATTTGAAAGAAGATAGAAGTACATGTGTATATGTTGATACACCTATCGTTACCTAGGCTAAGGATGTCCTTCAACCCATTTGCATAGATTTAAAAAAGAAACATATCCTGGCATTATACAATGCAGTCGACGTGTCGTTGACGCGTTGGGGACCCCTCTTCCTCATGAAGTACTGTACTTGCACGAATATAATGCGACCACGAATATAACGTGAGGGCAGGTTTTGATGCCCTCAAAAAGAAAGAAAATATATTATTACTATTATAACGCGAGCCGAGGCCGCATACACTTACCGCACTCGGGGGCATAGCAGAAGTGAAAAGGCAATGAAAATCGAAGGAATATCAGTTTATGTTTTGACTGCACTCGTCCTCACTGCTCAGGTCCTTCAGTTTACGATCCACTTGACCACTAAGTAACAGCAATACGCAGGAGCACAGCACCGCTTGTCTGGTAGTTCCTTTTATTTAGCGTGAGCTCCTCGGAAGCCCACAAGCAAAGCAAGGTACCAAGCAGAAGCACCAACACATAAACACCAGACCACTCTGGAGCGGAAACTAAAAAATGTACAGGCAGGGAAACAACTTCTGAACCGGTCACACTCATTCTTGTTCTTGTCCCTCCGCATAAACAAACACCTCGTGTTGCAAAATTGCGTAAACATGGTCAGTGGTCTTGGCTTGGCTTTGACGCCCTGCATTTCTGCGGTGTGCTTTTCGGCGTGCGTCGTACAAACACAAACGCAATAAAAATGCTCTTTGTTTTCTATTTCCCTCATTCACGGGGTCCAGTGGCTAATAAATTCCCTCCCACACCCCCACTTCTTTTCCCACCCGATCTCCTGCACTTTGCCGGAGGGATGGCTTTCTCCAGACTCGCGCGCCTCGTGGATGAACTTTATTCTAAATATAACGCGAGGTGCGTTTTGGATCACGTAACTTCGAGAAAAAAAAAAAAAAAAAACTCGTTATATTTGTGCAAATACAATATGCCTCTTGCAGTTTGTGTGTTTTTTTATTCTTACTTTTACCTAGAATCTTGGCGTCACTGAAGCGGGGCTCACATTTGCAAGCCCTAAAGTGCATGGGCAAATGTGCCCCATCATTTGTCTTTAAATTTTCTGTGTGCTCCCTCAAACGGTCATTGGTGCAGCTTCCTGTTTAGCCAACGCAAAATTTTCCACTCGCTAATTAACTCAAGCAACTTTGCCCTCGAATTACTAGTGTAAGCAAAATAGAGCGAGGATGTTGAATGAAGCACGCCAGGCCGTTTATTGAATGAGTCGCGGGGGTCGTGTATGAAATCCCCCTAACGTATGGAAAATCTTATTTTGGGCAAACAGGAAGCTGCACCAATGACCGTTTGATGGAGCATACACAAAATTTAAAGACAAATGATGGAGCACATTTGTTTGCCCACGCACTGTAGGGCCTGCAAATGTGAGCTACACTTCGGTGACACCAAGATTTTAGGTAAAAGTAAGAATCAAAGAGCATGCGAACTGCAAGAGGCATACTTTATCCGGAAGAGGGGGTCCCAATGCATCAGCGACATGTTGATTGCATTGTACGATGCCGAGATACTTTTTTTTATATATATATTATGTAAACGGGTTGAAGGGCATGTACCCCAGCGCATGCATAGCCTAGGTGACGATAGGCGGTTCAATATATATGTATATACTGTAGAATACTGCATATCCGCCCATTCCGCATTAAGCGCCCATTACCAAATTTGTGAGATCTGAGAAAATACGCACAGTACATTTATATGTAAAATTGATGACCGGATAAGCGCCCATCCCCCATTTTTTTTGCAAATATCTCCAAAGGTTGAGTGGGTGCTTGCCCGGTATTTTATGGTATGTGTGTACTTTGATCTTTTTTTTTTTTGTCAAATACAGTTGTGGACTAGTGCCCCTGTTTGTTTTCTCTCTTGTGTTTGCCCTTTTTAGCGCTTTTCACCATGGTAAAAAAAAAATTCCTTGAACTTGCTCGAGGTGTGCTCTTTTAGCCGAGGTCTAATATGTTTGTAAAAATGTCTATTGTTTTCTCTCGATATTACTTCTATCTATGTAAAAGATACAATTGTGCCAAAAGTTGTGTGACCACAATTCAATCTGCCTTAATAAATAAAGAAAGGTTGGCAGTTTCAACTTCTACACTGTTGCTTCTTTCGGCTGCTGCGGATTTTGAAGTGAAGCAACGGCTGGTTCACACACTTGCGACCCCTTACGACAGGAGGCTAAAAACCTGTTTTTAAGCCTCTTGTGAGGGCTTATGACTTTCCGCATTGCTGTGCAGCCGGTCGTAAGCAGTCACTAGAGGCGTGAAAACCCGTCTTTTCTCCGTCGGTCGTAGCCAAACGCAAGTGTGTGAGGAAGATGCTAGGGTAAATGGGTAATCTTCGTTTTCATTTTGTATCTGAAAAACTATTGCATGTTTTGTGAAATTTTATGTACGCAACGGTGGCACCCTTGGGATTAACTTTGTGTTAATTTTTTACCAAGGCATTCTTTTATATTTTTAGTAATGGAGTGTCAAATCTCAGGCAGAGTTCCAGTTTTTAATGTACGTTTTCTCAGCAACGCAATTTTTTGTCTCCACTCAAAACAAAATGGCCAGGGGGCATGGATTTGGCGCCATATTTAAGTGGCTTTGAGCGCTCAATTGCGCTCGCCGCTTCCTGGTTTGTTTCTCGGACTGCATGTTTTGTTCACACTAGAACTGCAAATATTGATTTTTTAGTTCATTTACCTCACCACCCCCCCTCCCCCCCCTCCCCTTAAAGGGGCACTGACAACCCGAAGATCCTCCTTTTTGTCTAAAAATCATGCAAACTGCTGTCATAAATTCACAAAAAAAAAACAATGCAAAAAAATTTTTTTCCTTGTGCACATTTTTTTTTCCTTTGTCTTTTGACATCCTCACTTTTCATTTGTGACATAATCGATTATGAGATTTAGAAGCTTTGTAATCTACATTTCGATAATAGTTGATAACGGAATTCGTAAAACATGTTTTTTTAACGCAATTGCGTATAGATTAGAATGGAATTGAAAATCGGATTTTGGAAGTGATGTCACCTCCCGACTTTTCATCCTTCCTCGGAAAACGTGGCACCGCACGGCACCTGTAGCAGCGAGGTTGATTGAAGAGTCGGGGAATCGGACAAAGATATCTGTGTTTGGTAGATTTACCTCTAGCCTTGGATGTTTTGCTTAGTGTGATGTGACCTGCAGCGGAAACTTTGTAGGAACAACACCGCGCCTCAACCGAGGCACTGTTTGAACCCCCAAAGGCTCTCGAGACGCTTGGGCTGACATCATAATCCTCGTCGACAAAGTACCTAGGAAAAATAAAAAACTTCGAACCGAAACCTTCCAGTAGTCCTTCAGGAATTGCAGCTAGCCAGGCCGCCTTCTCCGACGCATTCTTCGGGAACCTGTGCAGCATATTTTCGGTTGTAACTCTGCTGAGGCAGCCTTTCACATAGAGCCGGCGCGACATGTCCCCTCACGTCGCTCACAAAAGTCCACTGCGCGTCCTCTGCGACCTCACGCCGTTTGAAAGAATTTGAGATCGCTGAAAGGGTCCTAAAAGAACTTTAGTCTCGAAAGTGAAGAGTCGTCTGCTCGGAGCGATGGGCGTCACATAGGTAAAAGTGTAATTGATTGTGGGACTTGGGAAAACACGACACTTTCGGTGGTTTGGAGGAGAGAGAGAAACTCGAGTAACAGGACGACTCAATCCTCGACGTCGTTGCACTGGCACCGGTCGCACGGGGACTTCAAATTCGGCTTTTGGAAATTGTTTTTTACTTCATGAATACCGAGTTGCCGAACTTCAAATTTTGAGGATAATGGCCAGACTGATTGCTGTATGTGTGTGTGTGTGTGCACCGCAGCACTTCCTGCTGCCAATTGGGACATCGCTAGTTGAATCCCTGCACTGCTCAGCAGGTTTTGCTTTAAATGGGCACCCATTTTGAATTCTGTGCAATTTCCCTTTGGGATTGCATTGAGGAAAGGTGTGGAAAATGTGGAACTAACATGCTCGTACGTGAAAGTGTTTTCGCCTTCCTTCTTTGCACTGGCATCGTCACAATCATGCATTTATACAACACCTGCTTTGAGTTGTCACTTTGTTCTGTGTTAGGTGTTCCCAATGTTCTCTTGCTCCGTGTTCATGTTCCTGACAGTTGTTTCCATGTTGCCTGGCCGTCTGCATCTGGCTTCCCAGACCATAGGTGTCATTACATGCTGGGAAATTCCTTTTGCTTGTTTTTGTGTAAGACAGGAAAGCAGTTCGGTTCTCTTCTTCTCTCATGGCTAACATTCTTATATTTTTCAATAGAACGAGAGGGGTCAGTGAAGCCAAGTCTCAATCAATACCAGCTCGGGCATGAATTTGGTTTGGTTAGGTTAGGCTTCGGAATCATTGCTATATGCGTGCTTATTTTGGCATTGTGTAATTAACTTGCAAATGCATCTTTATTGCATTTTTCTTTCTTCTTACTTTTATGTCGTTTGCCTTGAATGAAATCTGCAAATGATAAGTATGTAATCAGACTTCTGTTTCACTGTTCCTCAGAAATAAATGCTGGCAGTCAAGCTCCCCAGTGTTGTCTTTTTTTTCTTGTGTCACGGGCAGAGTAGCTCTTTGGAACACTCCCACTCTGCCATCCTGAACGAGGCTGGGATCTTAAAGTAGCAGTTTTGTCGCCAAGAAATTGACTGCCAAGTGAAAATATCCGTACAGAGGCACATAAGTAGAGTGGCAGTTTGTGGTGGCAGTTCCGACAGTAGCCCAGTTCCTGCCCTCCGGCAGGTTTATTTATGTAGGAGGCAACATGTTTTGAGCACAGTTGTTTAATGCTTGTGAAGGCATTGCACTGCACTCTGGACTGGTACGAAAAAGAGACATGGGAGACGTGAGGAACTTTGAAACCGACTTTATTGGGCCGATATTCCTCGGAACGAGCACCTTCGTAATTGCATGTTGTTAAAAGACAGTTGCTTGTTTTGAACCATCGCAACATAGCACTTACGTGACCGCGATATTTGTTCTGTACCAGGCACTTGTTCCTCAGGGCTGTAGTTGTGGCTCTTGGCTCTTTTCACCAGAATTTACAGATTGAATGTCGTCGTACAAGTTGCAGTGTTTCTTGTTCATTTTCTTATAGCTTAAGAAACACTGCAGCTAGTATGTGGTTATGGAGCATGTGGGAAATGACTATTGCGTGCACAAAGTCTGACGGCAGAGCCTCAGTTGTTTGCAGTTTGTGCAGAGTTGAGAGGTGTTGGGACCACCCTGGATGTTCTGAAGGAGAGAAAGACATGCCGTAAAACACCGGGGAAGTCCCCACTATTAACATTTCCAGAACTTCGGAATTCTCATCATACGTCAAGCACCCACCCCCTCCACAGCGCCGCAAATATTCAGCACACTATGGCAGCTACGAGAACACCAGCGGGGATGACGGGGATATCCGCTTCCTTGCAGAGGAAAGGGAACTTGTTTGGGTAGGGGAAACCATTAACTGTATGTTATCTCGGTCACTTGGGTAGTGAGAGGTCCCTCGAATGCTGGAGGTCAGCAACCCAGTCGTAGCCATGTCGGGACCGATGGGGGTGAAGGTAATGTGGTGTGACAATGAACAGTTCTTGGAACCAAAACCAGTGGTCCCAGGGCTTTTGTGAAACACATCTTGATAAAATGTGCACGTTGCCGCGGTTCCCTCACCTCTCGTGCAGCTACTGCCATCTTGGTTTTTACAGCTTCAACCGAACAAGTGCCCATGTCTGGACTAACTAATCTTTTAGTGAGAGTGGGGTAGGCCCTTCCCCAGTATTTTACGGTATAGTAGGATTAATGCCAGAACGAGAGCGTCGGCAAATGTCTTTCGAACGCCCACCACCCAGCACATGCTCCATGTCTTCCGGCGTGCCTCGGCAATGTGTGCGCACTCGAGAAGCACGAGACGCCCAAGCGTTCTCGAACGTTCGTTTTAGCTTAAAGGGACACTGACGGTGTCCTCGTTGAGGTTTTCATTGGAACATGATCAGTAAGAGCCCAACTACCCAGAACCAAAATTTGCAGATCAAAATTAATTCCTTCGCTCAAAAACAGCGCTTTTCAGGTGGAAAGAAAACAAATTTCGTGCCATGTATTGTGTTCTGGGTAGTTGGGCTCTCATATGTCAGTGTACCTTTAACGCCTTCCGATTTAACGACTGTTTTTACTGACAAATGTGATGTCGCCATGGGCACTAAGGTGGGTCCCTCTTTTGCTAAACCCTTTGTGGGCTTCGTTGACGAGTCCATCTTTGACAAACTCCCCCATCTAAACTTTTACAGACGCTATAACGATGACATCCTCGGATTCGGCCCACCTCTTTCCTTCCAAAACTTGAAGACGCCCACACCTCCATGAAATTCACCTTCTCAGTTTCCACCTCTGCTACCTTTCTTGACCTCACCATTTCTATTGGCAAAAACCGCTTTAAAATGTCTGTTCATTACAGGCCTACCGACCCACAGAGCTCTTCACTACTCTTCTTGCCACCCAAAACAAGGAATCGACTTCATCCTGTTTTCACTATTTCTCCGCATCCGATGATGCCTTTGCAGCGACGATAATTTCCATGATCGGGCCCTCTCTGTGCCCTCGCCCCATTCTTGTAGAGGCATTAGACTGAGTCTCACATCTCCCATTCCGACGCCCGTTTCTCTCCCCCCCACCAGACCCAAAATACTCATCAACCCTCTTGCCTCGCAGTTCTCTCTCTCTTGGACCTCGCAGTTGGATGTGAGATCCCTTTTAGCCTCTGTCGGGAAACGTTAAATCGTTGTGGAATTAACTTTTAACAGTGAAATGCGCAAAAATCAGATGGTGCCAGTGTCATGAGTCGTAACTCAAGGGGAGTCCAGGCACTGCTCAGCGAAGTTTACATACAATGAATGAATTATCGCCTAAACCATTGTGGATGTGTGCAAAGTGGTCCAACCAGCAAGGGATTTTTTCACTCTCTTGAAATGTATTTATGTTTTCATGAGCGACTCCTTGTTTGTAGACGTACGTCGAAAAAAAGGTTTGTGTATTGTTGAACTGCAGTATCTCATTGACACGATGGACTTGTCAAGTCGCAGTATGCGCAGCAGTAATGAAAAGCTTTCCTGCTATTCTCTGATCTCTCGCTGAAATCATTGCGACAGGCGGGCAACTGAAGCTCTCCTTGAGCAGCTAAACGTTCCTCTTTCACTTATGTCATCAGAGTCCTTAGCCGCCTAAAGATTCTTTTGAAAAGCAAAGACTGTGATTTCGCTCGAGCATGCATCATGGTGCGTGCTGCCATTGATGAGTTTTTTTGAAATAAGAAGTTTGAGAAGACTTATTTGACTTTGCGTGGACAGAGGGCTGGAAGATCGCTGAAGAAAACAGCGTGCCATCAAAACAAGCACAAACAACGACATGTCTACCTTCCCACTTACAGCAGTATGTACTGACTGAAGGAAGCCTGATTGAAGATGGCACTTGCTATACAAAGGAGGCATTTAGAATAAATGTGTTTCTTCCCAATTTAGATCACATTGTCGCCGAGCTAACTAGGAGGTTAACTGGAAACCATGATGTCTTCGGCGGAGTGAGTGCCCCTCACCCTTGAAGCAAGAAGTTTCTGGGTATATCCTTACTCGAGGCTTTTGCAGATCACTATCTGTGCGCCACTGGGTGTGTTGAAATAGTATGCAAGCTGATTGCAAAGGTTCCTGTAATAATAATGATAATAATAATCCTTTATTTGTAACATGCCCTAGAGCAACCTATTGGTCACAGTGTAATGGCACATAACAAGTAAAAAAAAACACAGGAAACAGTATACAATATCAAACGACACATACTCTCGAAATTAAAACATTTCACAAATCAGAAACCAAAAATATGCATATCAAGTAGTCGTATGAATGCAGCAAAATTTAAAAATAAGTCTACATGAGTCGAGAATTCATTTAAACAAATATGCGTTCAAGCCGAAGGGGACGGTCTCGTTTGAATAGATGCATAAAACACACTTGAGCTTCTAACGACACAGGCCGGTACTTGAAAGTTTAAAGACGACACAAGATTGTTATCTATTTGGCCATGAACCACTTTGTGTAAAAATATATAGTGTCACGAGCAATTCTTCTTTTCAACAGGTACTGTAGTGAAAGTTCTGTAAGAATGTATTCATAATCAGAATAACATTTCCTATCAAAATATCTATTGTAAACAAAGCACATAAATCGCTTCTGATCTTTTTCTATCCGTGCAGCGTCGGTTATTGTTAACAAATTCCAGACGGAACTACAAAACTCGAGTTTAACTTGTACTAGGGATCAAAACAATCGAACTACGCACATTATATTTGAAAAATTCATCCCCATTGCTCTAAAGCCAGAAGCAGCAATTTATGTAACATGATATGAAAAGGTAAGATAACTATCGAAATAAACACCAAGGGTCACAAACTTGTTCCACACATTCAATAGCAGAATTGCCGATAAAATACTGATGTGAAATTCTTTCACATTTCCTACACAAAGCACTTTTGTTTTATCTGGACTAACCAGCAAAAACTTACGTGAGCACCAGTTTGAGATATGTGATACATCTTCTTGCAAAAGAGCACAATCATCTTCCTACTGGGCTCTCGGATAAAGCTTAATATCGTCCGCAAATAAAAGCAGTTTCGCATTTTGGATGCACAATTCTAAATCACTGATGAATATAAAAAAAAGTAGCGGCCCCAGGTTTGATCCCTGAGGGACTCCCGAAGTTGGAGTAAACACATCTGATAAGCCATTCAAGATTTGTAGTCTACCCTTCCTATCAAACAGATAACTATGAACCAAGTTTAAAAGAGACGACGAAACGCCGTATAAAGAGAGCTTATAGAAGAGTAAGTCGTGATTTACCTCATCAGATGCCTTTGATGAGTCAAAATACACAATATCAACTTGCCCACATATAGGAACAAATGGGACAGTATAATCAAGGAGAGAACAAAGGTTGGTTTTACTGAAAATGTAGCTAATATATTCCGAATGTAGCTAATATATTCCAAAATTACTTTCGGAAATGCTATTCCAAGCATTCACGAAAGGGAATGCTTGAGCATTGAAGCCTAAAGGAAATGCCAGGTGAAGACTCTGCAGCGATTTGTCACAGTTCTCGAAGAGTTCAAGATCGACTTCCACCGAGATCTACTAGCCATCTGTTATCACTGTCATAATACCAGCATCGTCAACTACCTGCGAACACAATTTTTCCTGTCTGCGAAGACTGAAAACATACCTTCGAAACACGATGACAAATAGCCGTCCAAGTAATTTAGCCGTGCTTGCTGTTGAGCGATCTCTTGCTACAATGATAGGCCTTCAGCGTGTCGTCGACATGTTAGACGCTGCGCACGATAATCAATGTATACGTCTAGTGATATGCATGTACTAGCAAATTCACCAATCATCTCTGCTATCTAGAACAGTGGTGCGGACGGAGATGCGGGGGATCTTGCCTTTGAGACACTTGGTTCATATCGCGTGTGTGTTTTTTATGTTTTATGGTTTGCATATTGTTAATTCTGGTCATGATTAACTTGAATCCTTGTACCTACATGACTGTCTGCTTCGCATTTTGTATGTGCGTGTGCTACATAATCCTGAATCTACCGGAATGTTCAGTGTTCACTTATTCAGTATGTTGGTTTTAAATAAATGGTAATGGCTTCAAACTTTTTCTTGAAAGCCATCTCTTCAACCAAAAATTATCTTTATTGAAAATGACATAGAGAGCCAAAACTTTTGATGAGTGACATTTTCAGCATAAAGAACTTGTCCAGCCAAAAGTTCTGAGGAGTGACGTTTTCAGCATAAAGAATTTCTCCACAAAGCGGCAAAGCTTAAGTCGTCAATTCTTCGGCTTTCTTTTAATCGCGTTCTTTTCTACGACCACATATTCTCAAAAATAATATATTCAAGTATCAATGAGTTTCATAGTGAATAACAAAGGTCATGATTATTCCCAAATAAAAGTTAAAAATTCCACAAAAAACTAGCTTCTTTCTAGCTGTCAAAAGTTTATTGCCAATGCCCTTACTGTGATTTCTATGAAAAAGTTGTTTTTAGTTTGCAGATGGCTATATTGTCGGCGCTTGGAGTACACAAGTTTGTAAAACGCAGTGCGATCCTCCTAATGTTTTTGCTGATGAACCTGCGAGTGTCCGAGATAGCATTATATATTCATTTTTCTTAAAGGGACCATGAAGGCAATTTAATTTTTTTTTTAAAAAGAAGGTCTTTCCGCAAGCATTGGGGTCCTGGCATGCCACACAACTTTTTCTAGAACATTGCGACTTATTTCTGTACCTGCAAATAAATTTGCGAAACCGAAACAAACATTCAGATTTCTTCCCTTTTTCGCCTCTGGAAAGAGAAGTGACGTCAGGGAGCACTGTCGGCATCGGTAGGATTTAGTGCACACTCAGTGTGGTTCCCGTGGTTCGCTCTAGTGTACGGCGGTCTGTGAAGAAAACCTGGAAGAAATGGACGACAACGCCACGCTCACAAACGAGTTTGAGCTACCGTTCAGCGACCTCACGCCGACTGAACGGGAGATGCTGCTAAGGACGCAGAACTCTGGATTGACGACCGATCGGTCGGCAGTCTATGCAAACTAACGTCGCCCGATCGACCGCACGTCTTTAGCCGACCTTTCACACAACCTACTACTCCACATAATGCGGCATGATTGGTGAGACACCAGTTCGCAAAGCGAACACGAGACAACGCACGAAACCAAAGCCAAAAGTCCGCCGCCCCCGGTGCTCGTACCTCGTTTTCTTTTTTTTGTCCATGGTTGCTTGATGCTTGTTACGCGCCCGAGGTAGCAGTGCGGGATGCGTTCAACCAGTGACAAATGGAGGGATCGCTTCAGATTATGCTTTAATACACGGTATGAAACTTATTAATTCACAACTACAACTTCAAAATATTATCCAACGTTCAAATACACTTTTTTCATCACATCTCACCACCAAAATCGAAACCAAGAGCGCGTCTATCGTTTGAACCAATCGCCAGGCGAGGTGCCCGTTGTCGTCACGCTTCGGCGCACTTTAGTCCACCTTTCTGCCGCCGCCTCGGTGGGGTCTCGGGCATCATTCCCGGCGCTATTATTACCGCGCCTGTTTGCTCGATTGGTGCGGCACCCAAACTTCTGTTCGGGATAGAACTTGGTCAACAGTATCTGAGACGTGCCTGACATCCATTTCAATCGTCGAATAAAACTTCAAAACTGCCTCCATGGTCCCTTTAAACGACACATTCGTTTAAAGCTTTCAATGTTTTACAAATGAATTTGAGTTAATGCAACAAACAAAACTTCATAAAAATGATGAGGGTCCTATCATACTTTATGAGATTAATCACCAAACAAACAAAAAAAGAACATTGTAAGTACACAAGAGAAGGAATGTGGATTAATTGATATCCAATAAAAATGTGTACCTAAATTATGATTGGATGTTCATATTAAGCGTTAAGCCATCCTCAATTGCGTACACCTTAGGCAAGGTTTCATCAGCAAAAAGCGTTCCGCCTATTGCCACAACCTACTATGAAGGTAAGCATAAACAAAGAAAACAAGACCCCCCTCCAAATTCAGTAATCATGATGTGCCCCCCCAGGAAAAAAATTCTGGCGCCGCCCCTGCTGCCAAGTCCTACTCCCCAATACATTTGTGTGATGACAAACAGTGGTGTTTGGACGAGAGGCTCAAAAGCAAGGCCACATAGTACGGCTCTGTGTGCAGTGTATGCGGCCAACGAAACTGGGATTACGATCAAAGCTTCTCGGATATTTCTGGCCTTTGCAAGGCCTCCTTGCTCCCAATCATGCAACCGCCCACAGGGTTTGTCAACTTCATGTGTCAGCATGAAGTTGAGTTTAATGGTTAATCCGAGCAAGGGCTTTGAGATCTATCTTGCCCTCAGGTATATGAATAGCTTGATTTAAATGGCATAAAATTCTGCACAAGTAAAATTATTAGACACAGCTAGGGCAGGCTCCACTTGTGGGTTAACCCCAAAGCATTCAGCATGTTTGCATCCAGTTCTGGCGGATAAACTCCTATTCTGAGCATTTGGAACATTGACTGCACTTGTATGGTTTTTAAACACTGTGTGTTCGATAATGGCGGATCAGACCCTTATTTTGAGAAAACGCTAGGGGGCACTGCTTGCACTTAAATGGCTTTTCACCTGTGTGCGTTCGACTATGGCTTCGCAGGTGGTGACCTTGGACAAAGGCTTTGGGACAGTGCTTGCACTTAAATGGCTTTTCACCAGTGTGTGTTCGATTATGCTTTCTCAGACTGGAATCATGGGCAAAGGCTTTGGCACATTGCTTGCACTTAAATGGCTTTTCACCAGTGTGCGTTCGATTATGCTTTCTCAGATAGGATTTTTGAGCAAAGACTTGGGGGCATTGCTTGCACTTAAATGGCTTTTCACCAGTGTGCATTTGATTATGGATTCTAAGATTATATTTCCGAAAAAAGGATTGGGGGCACAGCATGCACTTAAATGGCTTTTCACCACTGTGTGTCCTAATATGGCGAGTCAGGGTGTAATTATAAAAAAAGGCTTGGGGGCACAGCATGCATTTGTATGGCTTTTCACCTGCATGTATTTGTCTATGGTGGATCAGACTATTACTGTGAGCAAAGGCTTTGGGGCACAGTTTGCACTCAAATAACTTATCACTTTTCCACTTTTGAGTGTTGCTGAGCACCTGGGACCTAGAGCCAGATATGGGAGCAAGCTGGCGCTTGAATTGTTCATCTCCATGGGCAACCAGGTGGCTTAAAATTGCATGCTGATCTCTGGTGACATAGGTGCAGGAGCAGCATCCAAACCAGATGTCCTCAGTGGTTCTCAGAGTGAAGCTGGTCTCTCCCAACAATGTGGCTCTATCACCTAGAAGAATAGACCATATGTATTGACATACACGGAGACCCAACCATGGTAGCCACTTAGTTTGGAAAAGAGTAGTCATTAAGGCAGTTTTGCCGCAACTGATTGGTTTAATATGTTGCTGCACTTTGGAATACGATTCCCGGAAGCACTCAAATGCAACTGACACATAGGCAGAAAATTTTCAATTTCCCGGGGGGCCAGGACCTGATAAACTTGCCTTAATATTTCTTCTACACACATACACACACACACACACACACACACATATATATATTGACATTTCAAATATGCAGATGATAGAACCATACTGGTCAAATGAAAATAGAAAATAAGAAAGTGCAAAATGGAAAATAAAATTTTGAAAAAATGTTTAAAAACATTTGTAAAAAATGTATTTGCTCTTATTAGCGGAAAACAAACAGCGCAAGGACAAGGACAGAGTAGAAGGTGGTAGACACACACAGCGCTGACTTACAACTGAGCTTTATTGGCACTGACAACCTGTATAAATACACAATTTGCCCGGCCCAAAAGCCAAGGAAAGAAACACAAGAGGAGGACTACACGAATTCCTAGAGTCATCTGCAGGCGCCGTTGCTCTCCGATCTGAGTAGAAAAATACACTCCTTTTCCGTCAAGGCAAGTGACGGGGCACTAACACACTCAGAGCCTGATTGTCCAATGGCGCGGGATTCTATAATCTCACGTGTCAGTTTATCTTTTTGTTTTCTGATGACCGTGCATCGTTCAAAAAACGGAGTACATCCGCAATCGCGGCAATGCACCCCAAGGTGCCCCGACACAACCTGAGACACATTATAACGATGCTTTCTTAAACGCTCATTAAGACAACGTCCTGTCTGCCCTATGCATCTCCGGCCACAGGACAGGGGAATAGAGTAGACAACACCCGCAACGCATGTAACAAACTGGCTTTGGTGTTTCTTGGCGCACACCTGTCTCTCTATTACATGAGAGTTCACTTTTTTGCACATCATAGATAGCTTGTCTGGAGTCGAAAAGACCACGTGAACACCAGCTCGACGTCCCACTTTTTTCAGATTATGGGATATTTTGTGTAGGTACGGTAGTACTGTGATGTTTCTGTTTTTCCTGTTAACTTGTTCAGCATTCTCAATCCGTCTTCTCTTTAGTAGAGTTTCTGCGACTGCCGTTAAGAGGCGCAACGGGTAGCCTGCGGCCGTGAGCCTCGCTACTTGATTCTTAAAGCTATCCTTGACTAAGTGAAAGCATGATTTATTAAGGGCGTTCTTAAAGCAAATGTTGACGATTCCCCTTTTTACCAGTTTAGAGTGGGCAGACGAAAACGACAGGAGGGGTTTATTACTCCTTGGTTCATAAAGCCACCAGGTGTATGTGGGGAGACACTGCAGCCTAAGGTCTAAAAATCTTATGGAACCGTTTACTGGTAATTCATGCGTGATAACCAGTGGTTCCAAGCATTTACTAAAAGTGGCCAAAACCTCAGAAATTTCGCCAGCAAAGTGGTCTGAGTCACAGTCAACAAGCACTAAGTAGTCATCTACGAACCTAAAAACCTTTTTTACCCTAGAGCCTTCAAGTCTATTAGATAAAATTCTGTCATAAAATGCAAGATAAATGTTGCTCAACACGGGAGCTAAACAGGAACCGATGCATATGCCGTTTTTCTGAATGAAAGTCTCTCCATTCCAAGTTGTAAACGTCGACTTTAGATAAAAGGTTAAAAGCTCTAAGAAGTCTCTTACCCCCAGACCACATTCATTTTGAAACGCTACACACCCGTGGTTGTCAATACACTCTTCGACGCACATTAAAAGCTCCGTGTGTGGAATCGAGTAGTATAAGTCCTTAATGTCTACGGAACATGCTGAGAGGCATTGGTCAGGGCATTGTTTAAGGAAGTCTATTATCTGCTCCGAGTTTTTTACCTGAAAGGGGTCGTCAATAACTAAAATGTTCAATTTCGTTTGTAAAAACATGGCCACCAACTTCTGCCACGTTCCAAATTCCGATACTATAACGCGTAGCGGACAGTTGGCTTTGTGCGTTTTAGCTGAAAAAAACAGATCCAGATTCAGGCCTCTGCCCTTATCGACCGCTAGGGCTAGTTTATCTAAACTCAGCCGTTTGCAAAGTTTACGTGCTTGAGCAACATTTATCTTGCATTTTATGTTGAGCAACATTTATCTTGCATTTTATGACAGAATTTTATCTAATAGACTTGAAGGCTCTAGGGTAAAAAAGGTTTTTAGGTTTGTAGATGACTACTTAGTGCTTGTTGACTGTGACTCAGACCACTTTGCTGGCGAAATTTCTGAGGTTTTGGCCACTTTTAGTAAATGCTTGGAACCACTGGTTATCACGCATGAATTACCAGTAAACGGTTCCATAAGATTTTTAGACCTTAGGCTGCAGTGTCTCCCCACATACACCTGCTGGCTTTATGAACCAAGGAGTAATAAACCCCTCCTGTCGTTTTCGTCTGCCCACTCTAAACTGGTGAAAAGGGGAATCATCAACATTTGCTTTAAGAACGCCCTTAATAAATCATGCTTTCACTTAGTCAAGGATAGCTTTAAGAATCAAGTAGCGAGGCTCACGGCCGCAGGCTACCCGCTGCGCCTCTTAACGGCAGTCGCAGAAACTCTACTAAAGAGAAGACGGGTTGAGAATGCTGAACAAGTTAACAGGAAAAACAGAAACATCACAGTACTACCGTACTTACACAAAATATCCCATAATCTGAAAAAAGTGGGACGCCGAGCTGGTGTTCACGTGGTCTTTTCGCCTCCAGACAAGCTATCTATGATGTGCAAAAAAGTGAACTCTCATGTAATAGAGAGACAGGTGTGCGCCAAGAAACACCAAAGCCAGTTTGTTACATGCGTTGCGGGTGTTGTCTACTCTATTCCCCTGTCCTGTGGCCGGAGATACATAGGGCAGACAGGACGTTGTCTTAATGAGCGTTTAAGAGAGCATCGTTATAATGTGTCTCAGGTTGTGTCGGGGCACCTTGGGGTGCATTGCCGCGATTGCGGATGTACTCCGTTTTTTTAACGATGCACGGTCATCAGAAAACAAAAAGATAAACTGACACGTGAGATTATAGAAGCCCGCGCCATTGGACAATCAGGCTCTGAGTGTGTTAGTGCCCCGTCACTTGCCTTGACGGAAAAGGAGTGTATTTTTCTACTCAAATCGGAGAGCAACGGCGCCTGCAGATGACTCTAGGAACTCGTGTAGTCCTCCTCTTGTGTTTCTTTCCTTGGCTTTTGGGCCGGGCAAATTGTGTATTTATACAGGTTGTCAGTGCCAATAAAGCTCAGTTGTAAGTCAGTGCTGTGTGTGTCTACCACCTTCTACTCTGTCCTTGTCCTTGCGCTGTTTGTTTTCCGCTAATATGAATGACCAACTAGCCCAATCGTCAACACTATTTGCCCTTCTGCACTTTCTTATTTCTCATTTTCATTTGACCAATATGGTTCTATCTTCTGAATATTTGAAATATTACTCGTCAGAGCCCCAAAAATGACGAAGAAGCATCCTTGTGATATATATATATACTATAAATGACTTAATTTTCGCGAGGACCTAATTTTGCCTAATTTTCGCGAATATCGCGAATCTCCTTCAATTCGCAAAAATAGGTCCCGCAAACAATTCCAGTAAAATGTAAACACATTGGAATCTATATTGAGATCCCACTGCATCGCAAAAATTAGAACCCACAAACTATTCCAAAACTTCAGCTTTGTCCTAAATCACGAAACATTGAGCCGACGAAAAATAAGTTGTTTACAGTATATATATATAGTTATCTTATTTGATTCGTTTGTACATACATATGGTTCATGAAGCATTGTTGACTCCGGCTACCGCAGGGGTATGTTAAGGAAGTTGTATACACTATGTAGGATATGAAGACTTCAACGAACATCAAGGAAGCTCAAAGTGCCTGCTCAAGAGTTTGTTCACGTGTGCATATCGGAGCTTGAGATAACAAAAGAAAGCGATTTTAGGCACTGCACCTATGGGAGCTGTAGCCACCTGCCCTAGTAGCCGAGTTAGGCCTTTTGATGGTGACGCACAGTTCAACCAAGCCCCATCATTGAACATGTGCTTTCTAAGATAGTCATCGCATTTGATTTGTGGCAATTGTAATTAGCGCATCTGCTCAACTGAACTGATGCATCTTTCAAAAACAAAACTAAACTAGGAAACACTACGTGAGCACGCAAAATACCACATTTCGTGTATTAGGACGATCTTAAATCACCATGTAATTAATGCCAACAATTGTTTTCCAAGAAAAATAAAACGAGGAATGAAAGTGTTAATTTATATTGTGCGTTACTGCTTACTGTAAAATCGCTTATTTTTGTGGCGGCCCCAATTTTTAGCTGATCATGCAAAGGAACATATTTGCAATCACTAAATTTCGATAATTCTGGAGGCCGCAATGCAGGTCCTCTAGAGACCGATATTTTCACGTGGACCTGAATTTTGAGAAGTTTTCAATTCGCAAAATTCATGAAAATAAGGGGTTTCAGTATGAGTCCAGTTTGGCCTAGAGGGCAGCGCAGCGGTTGCTTTGCGTGTGACTGCCATGCATTGGGCTCATAGACTAGTCATGAAAGGAGTTTTCAATCTGCTGGCGGGGCCGGTGAGAAGGAGAGAGGACTGAGAAATCCACCAAACCGACTGAACCCCACCCCTTAGTGACGAGGGCGCACAGATGAGATTAATGAGGTACACCCGGAGGTTCCGCAGGCGATGGTACTTGTTTTTCCGAAGAGCTCAAGAGACGGGGGGAAAGGGACCGAGCTCCCTCGTGGTAAACACCTATGAACTGACACTATTAAAGGACACATGCAAAAAAAAAAAAAAATCTTTTAAACAGCTTAGATGGAAAAAAGATGTCATAAAATGATTTTACAACGACGAAAAAAAAACTGTTAGAGCTATATTTACGGCGCTATAAGAATTTTTAGTTGGCACCCACGGGTGCTGCGGAAAAGTGGCCCTTATTTGTCACGTGGTGCTTGCACTTTTTCGGAAGCTTCCTTTGACCTCCAAAAGTAACTTATTCATCTTTGTTTGAAGTATAAAAAAAAAAAAAAGCTAGGATTAATAAGTAAATTTTAGAGCCCAAAGGAAACTGCTGAAAAAGCGCAAGCAGACGTGATAGACCTGTGGGCCGGTCAGATGACGGCGGCGGCGCCCCGAAGCAGACGAACTTGTGCGGCGGCGGCGAAGGCGGCATGGACGAACACGTTGAAGTGGTGTTGCACAACGCTCTGCGTGCGGCGGCGGCGTAAATTTGCGGTGGCGGCAACGCAGCGCGGCGGCGCACGGACTTACCACGTGACCAGCGGCGGCTCCCGCGGGCGCCAACTACAAATTCGTTTTGCGTCGTCAATATAGCTCTAAATTTTTTCTTTCTTCGTTGTAAATTTGTTTTATAATGTTCTTTTTCCATCTAGCCTGTTTAAAAAAAAAGTTTTTTTTTTTTTTTCTTTGCACGTGTCCTTTAACGGAGCTGTGCAACAATTTCAGGGCTTTGCTTAAATAATTGTGGAAGTTGATGCCCGACACTTCTGAAGAGAACCACAGAAAACAGATTTTGCCTGGATACCCTAGTTTTTATTTAGAAAAATGAAAAAGATCCGCCAGGTTTTCGCCACCTCTCAACTCGTACATCGTCTTCCGGCTCACGTGCGCAGTGACGTCGATGGGGTAGGCGCAGGGTTCCGTTAAAGTTCTCTCTCTAGAGCCATCAGTGAGCAGCGAGAACTCATCTGCTCGCGACCGCGTGACCACGTGCTGGCGGGCGCAGCGCGAACAATATGGTGAAAGGAGGAAAGTCACATCAGGGTCCGGCCATACCCATCCGGCCCTGTCTCCCTCCACCTCCGGCCTCTGGCGGTTGTTTGCGGTAGCAGATAGAGCTGACGGTTTTGTGGACCTAGGATAGATAGCGCCACTAAAAATCCGTATAATAAATGTTTTGTTGATGATACCAGGTTTTTGACGTATTTATACACAAACTCAACTCTGTGATGTCACGGCGCGGTGGTGGCGCGTCGGTCGCACTTGCGGTCCGGGGCTGTGGGCAGAAGTCCCCATGTCAGACGTGTATTCCTGCATTGTTTTGAAAGGAGCTAGACAAAAACCTGCCTTCTCGTCAAAACGCTGCGACTGGGGCCGTACCAAAAGTGTCTAGAAAGGTTTGAAGGTCATTTTTTACGTGCTCGGTTCGTCCGAGAATCTGGATCTGTGCTGTGAAAAGGGAAAAGCAAATGCTGTCGGACAACGATTGCTTGGGCGGGAAGCACTTTGGGTTCAGTTCACAGATACTTGTGGTCATCAGATTTATTTGTTTTGTTCCAACATGAACGCCAGAAAACCGTCAAGTTGTGCGGACCACCTGCGGACTATGTTCAGTGCGTCTTCAAGTTCAAACGGCCGCCTGATCGTTCGAACTGTCGTCTGCTCTTTCAAATGTTTCTGCTTGTCGTCTGCTCTCTTAGACGACGCCGGCCCGTAGACCAAATGTTGGCCCGGTACTTGCGATAAGAAGTAAGTGCAGGCCTCAAAAGACTTAAATTTGAAGGTTGGTAAGCAGGCTCGATGTAAACAGTAGATACAAGAAGATGTTGATCATTGTTACCCGTGGCCATCACCGACATGTTATGCCTAATTCACTTGGTCTTATTCTGCTTGCGATTTTCAGTATCGACGTCGACCATCTCAGCTACGGCTCACGCTTTTGCAGCACGAGCGGCGTCGCAACTGAAAATTGCGAGCGAAATCTCATCATGCGAATCAGGCTTTAGCGTACATGCTGTGGCGTCCACGCGGAATGAATCGCCACATGTCACATTATTCACGCAAAGTTTTGTGGTGTAACGAGCCTCGGTAATTTCGCTGACGCCGCTCAAGATAGTCAGACATCGCCAGGAAAACGTAGAATCATCAATTCGAATGCGAAAAGGGGCAGGGGGACTCACACCGACGTCGACAACATTGTATTTCAATGGTTTGTTTATGGGCGACGGTGAGCTTCTTGCCCACACCCCCATCGTGCATGCGCGGCGCCGGTGGCGTCTGCTAGGGGCACTCCGGTTTGTTTGTAAACATGAGTTGGTGTATATTTATGTTCGAACGACAAGATTTAGAGAAGTTACTTTTATCGAGCAGGTATTCGCACAACTTGCTATCTTTCTACAAGAACCCCACTGACGTAATGCCATGTGTTTCTCATGGCCGCTGCTCGCGGCTGCAGGTCGGGGAATATTCCAATTTTTGCCTCGCTATTACGCGGCGGAATCACAACATTTCAATGAAAGGAGGTGTGTTTTCTGTCATTTGTGACAAGGTGGACAATGTCAAAAGTAGAAGATGCCAATTATCTCAACGTTAAAATCGTTGCACAGCTCCTTTAAGGGAAGTCCCTAGTCTTGAAAAGTGAAAATCATAGAAAAATCTAAATTTATACATTCTCTTATCTTAATCTCTAAATCACAGTTTACATAACTTTCCACTTTGAAAAGCTTTCCTGGATTTGTCAGAATTTTCTTCTTTTTTGTCACATGAAAATGTTTTTACTAGACTACCTTTGGATTTAGAATCTGGATCTGAATACTTTCTGAGGGTTGGATACCTCATTATTCAGAGAGTACAACAAAAACAATATTTCTTGAAATTCTTAGATATGACATTCTCTAATTGGCAATGACTGTTCGACTATGGCGGGTCAGGTTGAAAGCTTTCAAGTAATTAGTAAAAGAATTTCCAGATATCACGCAGTCATGACTCGCTAATATGGATGCACCGCTATATAGACACAATTTTGGGGGACCAATATCTCCCTATGCAATCTGCCTCAAGAATATTAAAAGCAGCAGTCCAGACTATGGACAGCTAGTTTTGGTAACGAACTGGGTAAATTCATGCAGGTTTGTCTCATTATTATGGACACAAGAGGGTCCACTAATAAAAAAACAAGATTAGTAGGGGCCTCAGGTTACAGCGTTCAAGGAGAGTTTCATTACTGTCTGCAGTTGGTTGCACTTCCTTCGAAAGGCACAGGACCTACACACCGAACAATGGTTCAATTTATCGGGGCTTTCCAGTCAAATGCATAACCTGTCCTTCTCTACTTATGTAATGTCACATTCAATTGGGGCGCACCACACCGCACCGCACTGCACCGACGGACGCGTCGCGTTCAGATGGCCGTGTCGGTGCGGTTGCACTACGTTCATTTGGGATTTGGTGCGGCGCACGACACCGGCGCATTGCTGCACCAGCTGCACCGTCGAAAGGAGACCGTGCAGCTTCGCGCACTGCGGGCCGGTGCGGCCTTAAGCTACCGCTCTCCGCCTCCTTCGGCCCCTTCTTTCCCTCGTTTCGTCTTCCTCGTCTCGGTAAACATGGCGGCTCGGGAGACTCTCGCTAGGTGGCGCGCGCCGCCGCCCCACTCGTGGCGGATTTTGTTCAATGGTCCACCCGTTTATGTTTTGCCCTTGAAGTGACCGCGCCAAGCGCGTTGCATGGCGGAATGCTTCGTGTTCACTTGGTAGTGCATCATACGCTGCACCCGCGCGGTGGCGCGGCCTTGGGGGCAGCATTTTCTCGGTGCTGCGTGCGCCCCAATTGAATGTGACATTAAGATGCTCTTCAGGTTTGTCATGTGTGGCCGCTTTTCTAGCTTGTCTGGTCTCTCCCGTCTATGCATTTACAGGCAGCCACGTTTGGGTTAAAAATCAGGCTCCAAAAACTTAGGACACATGAAAAAAAAAAATTTTAAGCAGCTTGGACGGGAAAAGGATGTCATAAAACGAATTTACAACGTAAAATAATTTTTAGAAGTATATTCACAGCGCGTTTGGTTTTGCATCCGTGGCCACCGGATAGACTGATAGTAAAAATCACGACGCTGCCGTGAACGGTACCTATCGCCCTCTTGTGGCGGTGCAAGATACCGCCAGCAACGGTTTTACAAAAAAAACAAAGATATAAAAACTAATTTTTTATATAACTTTTTTTTTCGTAAAATTTGAAGCAAGATTTGTAAAATCGTAAAATTAGTCCCAATTCATACATTTTATGAAAAATTCGGAAGAGTTTGCAGGTATGAAAGAAGCACTGCTCTGGAGTATGACTGCCTTTAGTGTAGACACTGTCACTTTCCTGTTTATAAAAAAAGGTACCACCAAACAAAAAAACTCACCACAACTTGTGGACTGATTTGGTTCCATTCAAACCGCTGCCCAAGGTCAGGTTCATAAGGAGTCTTGTAAGACCAAGAGGGAAGCAAGGGACCACTCGAGATCCTAGGAACCAAATGCAATGAGCAATGACAGTAATTAAGAACAAAGTGAGCACACCCTCCAAGAGCATCAAGCTAGTTAGACACCTATGAGAATACCACACAAAAGAAACACCGAGGATTTGGCCATTTCAAATTAACAATGACAAATGGATGAGGAAATAAAATGCCTCTGTGCCTAGTAATGGGTGGTAGTCTGTGCCACCTGAGTTAAGCATGAAATCCGTGCAAGCGATTTGGCAAAAGACGAGACAAGCGGCGGCAACCCGCTTCACTGTTGCCTGGTCAGTCGCGTGACGAGGCAGACCGCATGAAAACGATGGGAGCAAGCGACTAAGGCGATGAGCGACGTTTTCTAGAAATCCAAAAACCAAGCGACGCAACGAGCTACAGTCAGAAATTTCCGTCGCTGCCGCTTGTCTCGTTGCTCGCTAAATCGCTTACATGCAGTTCAGCCTCTAGAGTTTGAAGGTATCTCAAAACGATTTGCTCATTTTTGCATTGCCAGTAGAGTAAAAATACTAAAACTAACAGTTAAAGGAGTAAGGACTTGCACGATACAAAATCTGAGGTAATCTATGGCTGGACCCCATTAGGTGTCCCTCCCTATATTAATGCTAAATTTGTTTTGTAAATTCGTTCAACTGCGGAACCCTCAGGTGCACTGATTTAGGAAAGCTGCCATGTTCCTCTTTCCACAAAAAGTTTAGAGTGTTGCTAAATGCGGGACATGCACCAGGGAAAACTATTTTTTAGAGTGCAGTTCTTAGGCGCCCGATTCCGGGTTGAGCAGCGTCGTTGTCGGCACGCTGGCGTAGCCATAACTGCGCATTGCATTATGGAACGTTTCATAACCGATCACTCGGACAACTAAAATGTCCTCAAATTCACACCATTAAATTTAAGACTTGCCGTCTATAAAGCACTAAATCCACCCAAAGCTAGAGTATGCTGCCGCTATATGGGACCCATTCCAAAATTACCTGCCATTAATCAGAAGCAATTCAAAATCATGCAGTCAGGCTCATTTTTTCTAGCAATTCATATGAAGTAAGTGGGCTTTGATGTCGCTGGTCGGTAATAAAGAGGAGCCTCTTGAGGGGGCGGTTAACAGAATTGATGCGCCCCTTCGAGAGTTTGACCAATGGGTGTGGTGACGAAGGTGCCGGAGAGAAGTGAAGGCAAGGGAGGAGAGCCCCGAAGAAGCGAGAGAGAAAGAGAGCAAAGCGGAGGCGACCGCCATTTTGATGCAACGCTGTCGGTGCCGAGCACTGTTGAAGCTACGCGTCGTCTGCTATGGGCTTATTTCTTTTTCGCCTGAATAAAAGTTTGCGTTCAAACGTGGAGAAACTTAACTCGTTAGTTTTTTAAGCCACCAGAGAATTACACCATATCATTTTCTTGCCAGAGCCTGCCAAATAAAAGTAAAGAACTGAAATTGGGGTGTCGATCCCATGCATTCCGCCGGGCGAATGAATGAAAATGGCGGCCCTCTCTGCTCAGCTGGGAGCAGCCGAGAGTTCATGCGCATGCGCTCAGACCTCTCGCTCTCCGTCGCAGGCTGGTTGGCTCACTCGTGAGGGGGGCGTTACGGCAGCAAGATCACAGATTGGCTAAACTCACCCCATGTACGGCTCTGGCATTTACGGGTGGGCCAAGTGGGTTCACACCGAGCGAACAGATAAAGTCGAGTGCCTTTTCACTTGCGGACTTTAGAAGGAGATTGACTTGAAAACCGTTTAGACTGGCAACGGTACAATGTTTTCTTCGGGGGTCAAACCAAAAGTGGAGCATCATTGTGTATTGTGCGTTCGCTGGTTCATTTTGTCGCATGATTCTCGGTTCCACGCGGAAAAGAAACAGCAGAAACTTTGTCCGGCTGACGCGACGCAGGTTAAGGTACTCCTCTGGGTCCGTGTCAAGGAGCTTCCGACGAAACTCGTCTAGTTGCATTAGCCTTTCACCGAGCCATAGAGTTATTACAATAAACGCTAGAGGTTCAGGTGGCGCTAGTGTGCTGTTGCATTTTGAAGCAGACAGCAAGCAGTCAGAAATTGACTTTCGGTAATGCATTTCTATGGGAAAAAGCGAGTGCATTTTCTCTCTGCGCTCGATTATAAAAGCAAATATCACGAATAATTTTACGAAAAATAAATAAGACGAAATAATTGGTCAGTTACAGCATTTTTATTTGAAATTCGTGGCATGAAAAACGGTGTTAAAACCGCTTCATACATGCATTTATGTGCACTGTCGGACACTGTTAGCGCGAACACGGCGCCGACGCTTTCCAGCATGGGGGATATACGTGCCAAACGAACGAAGGACATGTGGAAAACCAAGAGAGACAGCAAGAACTACGCAGTAAGACTAGATAAGTAACTCCTTGCGCATGCAGACAATCGAAATAAATTGAAAGCCACGTAATATAGTCCGATTTGCAATAAATAAGTACTGCTTTATTCTTTCTGCTCATGAATATGTGCAAAGATGCTTGTTCTGGATTCAAATCATCACCCGCACGCTCCAAATCTTTGCAAATAGGGGGAGCCAGAGAGCAGGTGCCCGATAAAAACTGCCCGCCATAGGAAATAATAAAAAGATGCACGTTTCGTAGCTCAGATGCTTTATTTTTTGAGTTCAAATGTTTCTTTAACCGATCGTAAAGATGCACGACAGAGTCATTATCATCCAATGACAGGACGGGCATATTAGCAATATATAAGCACCACCGAAATGCTAGCAAACCTTGAACACACTCTACATTACTTTCGATCATTAGTTTGCTTAGAATCGTTGCTCGTTTTTACACCTTCCTTGCAACAGAGGTTTGGGCCTGAAATAGAGCGAGGTTTAACATCGTTCAGTGGTAAAGAAAAATGCTGTAACTAAAACAATTACACTTTTAAAATGTTAATAAAGGTACATACTATCCGGTACAACCGAAATGACAAAAGTTATTCATGTTATTTTCTGGCGAAGAGACGAAATTCACGCGTGTTTTCCCATAAAAAATACACAAGGAGGCTGGAAATGTAGACTGCATGCTGTCTGCTTCAATTTGCAACCGGAAGTCCCGTAGACACTAGCGCCAGCTGAGCTTCTAGCGTTTATTGTAATAACTCTATGCACCGCGAGGAGGTTATAAGGACTAGGAGAGGGCACATTGCAATATTGGTGAAGCCTAGTCATAAAAAGCTTAAACGATGTTGTGGCCAACATGACCGCAGATCTATTTGGCGATTGGTGCACGTGACATGTCACGTGTGAGATGTTGATGGTTGATTGTAAGATTCATTGCAGGCTTGCGCGCACTCCGTCTGGTAGATTTCATCAGATCGAAGGCTAGACGAAGTCTAGCTACGGTCTCGTGATGTGGTCGCGTTGGCCTGATAAGTGAGGAGGGTAAGGAGAAAAATGCGAAAGCGGCGAGGCGTCAAGAAAGCAAGGCTTGTGGAGGCTGCGCGGCTGTCGTCATGCCCTCCCCTACCCTTCTATCCTCCTTGATCCACCGAGCAAGACCATTCTTGTGGCTGTAATGCAAATACAAAGTGTCACAAAAAAAAAAAAGTACAGGTTTTTTTTACTGCAAAAATAAACTAGGCATCGCCGAACGCTCATTCTCTGCCCAAAGGTAGCGCTAGAGGTCACAACCAGATGCCAAAGTTTCAGCCCGATCCGATACCTTATTCAAAAGTTATAACTGGTTTTCTGAAAATTTCAATGGGAAACCCAGGCGAAAATTTCTAACTGGGACCAGTTGGCACCTCAACTGGTTTCAACTGGGACTAACTGGTCCCAACTGGGAATCAACTGGGACTAACTGGTCCCAACTGGGAATCAACTGGGACTAACTGGTCCCAACTGGGAATCAACTGGGACCAATAGGAGTCCAACTGGGGCCAGCTGAGGGGTCAACTGGTTTGAACCATTCCCACTTGGGAGTCAACTGGTTTGACTCCCAGTTGGGAATGGAGTGCACTGGAACCAGTTAGGAAAGTAACTGGTTGGAGAGATTCCCTGTCGGACTTCAAATGCCTTTCCCGTTCCCAGTTCACACTGGGCAACAATTTGGACAAGTTGGGGGTGTCTTGACCTTTGCTAATGAAGAAAACTAAAAACACTAACATTTTTAGATTTATACAAATAGGGAATTTTTAATTACTGGGGTACATTTATATATTTATAAAAATAATTAAAAATTTTAATTAACTAAATAATATTTTAATTGGAAAATATAATTAGGGACAAAATGTGTTCACCTAAATAAACATTTAGTGCATTATTAAAATATATTAAAACATTTATTTAAATACCTACATTATTTTTTTTTCTTTTAATAAATAAATTTATCTTTTGACTAATCAGAGCTAGCCGGCCGCCGTGGCACGCGGGTGCGGATTAGTGGTACGCGCTGTTGACAGATGACGCTGCCTATGCTGACGCCGGAGTCGGACGGACGCGGTAGAGAAGGGTCGCCATCGCCCAAGTTGGCGTCGTTATGAAAACGTCAAAACTACAGCTGCGCTTCTTTGGACCTAACTGTACACACACCAAGGTGGCGGCGGTGAACTTCGAGGGTGGAAAGATGCAGTTCAGCGATCGGAGGGCACCCAGGAAAGACCGGACGCACATGGACCGGACGGAAGAGAACACGCCGCGGAGAGCACAATGGCGAAAATGGCGGGAGGTCTACCTCGAAAATGTTCGACTGTTGTGACAGAGATTGCAAGGTGGGAGCGCTACCGCATCTTATCAGGACTTCACCTGCGCAACGCAGGATCACGGGTGAGCACCTTTCTTCACGCGATGGGAAGAGAAGCTGAGGACGTCTTCACTAACAGATGCCAGCGGCCGATCTTCCTTCATCTCATGAATACCACCTCTGAAAAAGTGATTCAACCGTCGCAAGCAAGTGGCTAAACCCGGAGCGTGTACGTCACCGAACCTATTTAGTTTCATTCTCCAAGTTTTTGACAATAAAGTCTTGTCAACCTTCCATTTTGTGCCGTGTTTCATTGTTGCTGGAGTTGGTACCAACTCCAACTGGGACCAGTTATAACTGGGACCAATTCCAGCTGGGACCAACTCCAACTGGGAATTGTACCATAAACCAGTTGCAACTGGGACCAACTGGTCCCAGTTGGACGACTCCAACTGGGACCAGTTGCAACTGGGAATTGTTCCATAAATCAGTTGCAACTGGGACCAACTGGTCCCAGTTGAAAATTTTCGCCTGGGAAATGGAGCCCATTTTTGCTCGTTTTCGGTTTCTGGTGCCCATAGAGCGCCATGTATTCGAAAACTCCGTCGGCAGCCATTTTCCCATTGAAATTTTCAGAAAATCACTTCTAACTTTTGAATAAGGTATCGGATCGGGTTGAAACCTTGGCATCTGGTACGTTGTAGGGTGCCTACATGTCTGTCGTGTGCATGAAGGCACTCTAGTACGCTGTGATCTCTAGCGCTACCTTTGGGCGGAGAATGAGCGTTCTGCGATGCCCTGTCCCTGTCGTTCTGTGTTTTGTCCCTTGTCCGTATCCCCAGTCTCGGGTTACAACTATGCTCAATTTACACCAGCTAGCCTGCACCCTCACCATTGCTTCATGCCTAGTTTATTTTTGCAGTAAAAAACTACAGTAAATTTTTTTTTCTTTGTGACACCCTGTATTTGTGTGTTTTGTAGGAGCGCGGAGTGCGGGAAAGTATCTCCAAACGTCCCTCCGCCGAGCCCAGAACTTCCTCTATTCTTCGCCGAAGCCTTCTCGAGCAGGTCATGCCTTGGTGTAGTTAAGATAGCGGCGCTTCGCGCGAAGCCTATCACGGTGTTTTGTCTCGATCTGTACGTAACAACGGCGTACGATTCTTTATCGGGGTGGCAAACGTCGATTTCTCTCGTGGACAACGGTGCCACGGTGCGATGTTGGAGTTTCGCGGCACTGTGGGATGGCGGACAGGTTCGGTCCGTCCTCGCTGGCGTCTGCTCGTCATCTCCGTCGTGTGGACGCGCTTGGGAGACGGACGAACCGCGGACATGTCGTCACGTGATCAATCTGTCCGCGGATCAGTCAATTGGCCATTACCTGCGAGTCTCCTTTTAATTTTAATTGGTCCGTTTATTGCTGAAACGATCAAGCGAGCGCGCTGTTTACACGGCTTCAGAAGAGGCTACCCGTGCGCAAAAGCGCGAAAAGTCGACGTTGAAGCCGTCCTAAATAAAGCCACGGCCGTGAGCACGGCCTTGTGAAGTTTATTTCAAAGCTATCGCCTCGCACCAAATCATTCAGTCTTGGGAACAGTACCTGTTTCTTGAGTAGGGCAGTCGTTCAACGTGAAATCAACTTCTCTTCCATGCGATGCGGTCGTTGCAGTTGTTGATCAAAAAGATGCTAAACGAACAGTGGATCAATGAACGCGATAGAAGCCGAAGCCTTTGAATCGGGCGGCAGCTCGCGTCATCTAGTCAGTAAGAGTGAATGGCTAAATGGCTAAATCTCTATGGGCTAAATAGATAAAAAAAACTGTGTACGCTAGAACCCCATTGGTACGCTGCGAGTTCCAATAAACCCACCAACCAAAGCTAAAATAAAACTGATATATACTAGAGGCTTTCGAATGCATGCGATTACATTTTTAGCGGGCAGAGCAGCGATGGCACGAAATGAGTTCTGGCAACGTTTGTTCTGCGTACCAGATGGCCACTTAGTTTTGGTTTCAGTTTTGGATTTGTCATGATCATCGTGTCGTGACGGAACACGCTCCTGTTTACATTGCGGCGACTTTCTATAAGTGCACAACACTGTAGGCGTTTGGGCAGAGGTAGGCGAATGTAGAACGATGGACTGCTACGTCCCTGCTGGTGTCCCTGTCGAGCAAGCACGTTCGCATACGCGTGAAGCAAAGTTATGCAGATTTAGAAGTTCACGTGCTTGGCTGCAGGAGAGCAGGCAGCGGCTGTCTGATCGAAACCGAAGCTATGCCAGTCTGCTCCGTGGCCAACTGGTTCACAGCGTGGGCGAAATGAATTCAACGCACTTTAAACTGACCGCATAAATCGTACGTCATGACTGAAACCTGAGACTGTGGGTTGAAAAATGGAACACTCGTGAAGGAAGAAAAAATCATTTTCTTAACTTACCACGCTGGGATTTACTACAGAAGCGCCTGAAGTTGCCGGAAGCTTTTACTAAAATTGTGGAAAGGTGGGCTCACCTGAGTAAATCAAGCATGTGCACTAACAAAAATATTGTTACTGTGGCGCTTATTTGGGCCAAATGAAGTGAATAGGTAAGCCAATTTTATTTTCTTTCCCCCAGACATGTACAAATTACTCAAAAAAGGTAGTTAAGTTAAGTTACTGAGTATCGACGTCAAAAGTAATTGGAGTAGAGTAGAAATTACGCATTAGTAATAGTAATTGAGTAAACTACTAACTACTATAAAAAGTAGCGAGTTACCTTCAACTTACTTTCGAAGTTACTTTTTTTATATTTTTGTGGTAGCAAAATGAACAGCAGTTTTGATCAATGAAAAACCCTGCGAGCCTATAATAAATGCAGTCTATTTATAGCTTGCGTTTTCGCCAAAATAGTTTATTCGCTCGCAGAAGCAATTGACTTTCAAAGTTCTTGATAGCAGAGTTTTCCCCTTTTCCTTTTAAAGACGTCCCCAGCCAAGCTAAATAGACGTTCCACCGTGGCACTGAATGGAACGGCAGCGTTGAATTTGAGAAACAGGCTGTGCAGGGTCGAGTAAGCGAGTGTCGGCATCTTAGGTGTCCATGACGAAACATGTGAGGTTTGCCTCGGGTAAAAGGGTCTTTTATAACAAACTTTCCCCCTTCTTTCCTTTTTTCTTCGTCAAGTTGAGATTGCTATGACTGGCCCCTCTTTATTCCGACGTCGTTCTGAGAGTACGCCGAGCGAGTGCACCAGACCGTCAAGGGTTCAAGTCTCGCGCCACGACGATGAGATCATCCGGACGACTGCGCGTCCCGTTGTAGTGCTAGTGCTACGCTACTGAAAAAAGAAATGTTTTGGTCTAACAGAAGATGAACCGAAGTATACTTCGCCGCTGACGCCGGGTCCAACAAAAGGATCTCCCAAGGGTAACTCGCAATCCTCGCCGGCGACTACAATATTCTGACGCGCCTGACACGCCTGAGAAGTAAATCGTTTTTAACAAAGAGGAGGTCTCTTTGGCGTGGATGGTCGGAAGGACACGAAGGATTACGTGAACAAGCATCGTCGCTCGTATACAGTTGCAGCTGGAAGCGGGAACGTGCTTCCATGAACGGATTATCCGTGCCAGTGTTTGTGCGCGAGGGAGTCCGGCTTTGCAAAGGCGTATGCACTGACGACAAGGCGACCATGGGAACAGGCGCCCAGCTGCGAGGTCATTCCAGTGGCGCCTCCCGTGGAACCTACCGCTTGAGTCAGAACTTTCTAAAGACAGACAACAACTCTCGGAGTGTCCCCGTCTTTCACGGTTGCAGCTGGAAACGCGGCGCCTGCTTGCATTACCAGATTAGGTCAATACCCGACCAAGGCTTGTTAAGCATCTCTTCCTGCATTCGTGGGTGCCGGCGTTATGTTTTGGCTGCTCGTCGCCACCTTGACCCAAGGACACCTTCCCGAACAAGGGGGCCCCATGTTAGGGAATGCCTCTTCATCTGCCGGCGTCTTATTAATTTCTGCGCTCAAACTTTCGTGATGGGCAAAATTAGCACTATATAATTTCGAAAGTAGTTAGTAATTTGAGTAGAAGTTACCTGAAAAAAGTAGTTACATTAAACTACTAATTACCCAAATCAAATTGTAATTGAAAGTTACCAAGTTACTAAAAAAAGTAGTTAAACTACAGTAGTTTGAGTAGAGTAGTTGAACTACGTCCAAGTCTGCTTTCCCCTCACAATTTTTTTAATCGTAGTACACGCCAGAATAGCCTACAATTTATGATGATTTTGAGATAAGGCTTAGGCGCTGATCTCTATGACAATGGACCATTTCGGAGAAGCGTTCTGCGCACGCGCGAGCGCCCGATGCCAAGCGGCGGAAGTGGGAACGAAAAATCGAGGAAATTCGGAAGGAGGCTGTATATCAGCGAGTAGAACACATAACTGCAGCATATATATAATTCTGTTACACAAAAAAAGAACGTCGACGGAAAGGAAAACCCGACGTTTGGGTGGACGCTACGGATGCCCCTCTTTAAAGTTGGGCAGGCGCCGCTGCTCAGAGAGCGAAGAAACTGGTAGTCTAGCTCCCTATATCGATTGGTAGCGCAGGTAGGTCACTTCCTCGATTTTTAGTTTGTGCAGCCACCGCCTGGTGCCGTCGGTACGTGGAAAAGGTCCATTGCTGGATAGCATATCCCCGCTCGGTCGCTGCAGCGCGAGTGGCAGCGTGTTGAAGACACGTTTTCTACTTGTTCGTCGTCATTCGCCGAAGAAGTTCTTTAAAACCATATGTCAGCCGTAAGACTTGCCGTTGTTGGTACGCCTCAACGGGTGACAGGTCGCTTAGCTGTAGATGAGACATTTAGCCAGTGCAGTACAACCGTTAACCTGGGGTTTTTAACGTGCATCACGCAGTAGTAATTACACAAACACTCGCCAGTACATAACTCATCCAGATCGAAACGGGCGGGGGCGGTGGGGATCGAACCCTGGAGGTTCCCAGCGCAAGCATTTGCTCCATGCTCCGAGCCGAGACGAGTGCACTCCACCACAGCTCGGGACAGCGATTTGCTGCCATTTCGTTTTTGCTGTCTCACGACACATGCATTGTCGTTGCCATTCCACATCACATGTGTGAATGACGTCTTATCGAACAGTGCCATTGGAAACTTGATGCATGCCAGCATGGCTTCGGCAGTAAGCGGCTAGACTTCGCACGACGGTTCTTATACGTGTAGTCACGGTATATACCTGAGCGCGCCGCCAGATACTACCAATATGTATTAGTAACTGTCGTTTAACAATATGCTGTTACGAAGATGCCTGTGCTGAGGTGTAACAGCTCAATAAAATCTGGTTCAAAGTTCCTCTAGACTCCCAAGTCGCTTTCTCATGCCATTCGAGGATGCAGCACAATGTCCTAACACAACCGTACTGAAAACATGATGTCACCTCATACGTAAACCTGCTGGAGAGCAAAAATTGGGCAATTGTCAATTGACACGGTAGACTTTCACTTGTTAGTCAATTTCTTGGCGATAAAACTGCTATACATGAGATCCCAGCCTCGTGCAGGATGGCAAAGTGGGAATTTTCTAAAGAGCTGCTCTGCCCGTGGCACATGTGATCCGCAACGGCAGAAAAAAAGATAACACTGCAGAAGCTTGACCATCCATCTTTATTTGAGAAACAATGAAACAGTTGTCTGATGACATATTTAGCATCCGCAGATATTGTTAAAGACAAACGACAGAAAAGTAAAAGAAACAATCACCGCAATGAAAATATGCTTCCAAACTAATTACAAATGCAGAAATAAACACATAGCACATTGATTCAAAGGACCTTGTAACCAAATGAAAATCATGGCCAAATTAACATTCATTGAGACTTGACTTCACCGAACCCCGATTCTATTATATATGAATTTTAGCAATGAGAGAAGCAGAAAAACAAACTACTCTCCTGTCTTACACAAAAACAAGCAAAAGGAATTTTCTGCATGCAATGACACCTACGGTCTAAAAATTCTCATGCAGGCTGCCAGGCAATATGGAAACAACTGTCAAGAACATGAACACGGAGCAAGGGAACATCGGGAACACCTAAACACAAAAGAGAGTGACATTTCAAAGCAGGAGTCATAAAAATACATGACTGCAAAGATGCAATGAAGGTGAAAACACTTCGAGTAGGAGCATGTTACTCAGTTCCAAATTTTCCACATCTTTTACCAATGCAGTCCCAAAGGGACATTACAGTATTCAAAATGGGTACAATGTAAATTGATAGTAAAACCTGCTGGGCAGTGTGAGAGATTCGACTAGCGATGTCCTAACCGGCAGCAGGGAGCGTTGCGATGCACACACACTTGGCAATCAGTCCCCCCCCCGAGGAAACTGCTAGATGAGGTCTTAGAACGGTACAGGACGTAAAAAAAAAATGTAGAAAAAAGTTAACACATACTACTTACTGGGGGACACTACCCAGAAAAAGAAATTTCTGGAAAAAAAGTAATTTTGAAAAATTCCATGTTTACATCCACCAACACCTAGAGATTATTCCCAGAATATTTTATTTGTTTGCACTGCATAGTTATCTTTTTATAAATTATTTTTGGTCCATCGATGCAAAAGAAAAGGCAGAGATTCAAGCACTTTGAGAGTGTTTTCCTTCGTTCCATTTTTTGGCATAAATTTCACATTAGGAAGACTATTGTTTAGTATTTAGACAAAAGGAAAGGCTTACTCGTTTTTCATAACTGAAATTTAATGGGCAATGCAACTGTGGCATTTTTTTAACTTTATGAATGTCTTTAATAAAAAATTTTAAGATTCTGTCAACACCATAAAAGGCAAGATTGATTTCTAAGTGTGGCGTAAACATAAAAGAAATTACTTTTTGGAAATTTCGTTTTCACAGTTGCACTCTCCAGGCATTCTGGCGTGTATCTAGCAAAGGAAATGTTGGCTATTACATTAGTTTTCTAACGATAGTTTTCCTAAACAATGTCAGTGTGTTCTTGATAAAAGCTCCTATAATTTCTTAGGAGCACAGGAGAATAAGCGTGCACTCTTTACATTGGACCCATTTCTCAGCTTTTCAAGAATGTACTAGGTTATAGATTTGATTTCGTATAGCTGTTTTCTTAGCATTTTGAATTTGGGTTGTTTTGTTACTGAATTTTACGTGAATTATAGCTTTTTCAGGATTGGGTCAATCCTGGGTAAAATTTGGTTCCAAAACTTATTTGAAAGGGGCTGTTCCCATTCCGCTTACAAATCGCTACAATCTGCTGAGTTGACGGTATTAAAAATATTAACCCCATTAATTATCTGTAGCAATAAGTGACCAGTGTTTCGTCGAACATTCAAAAACAGTCTCTAAACCTGTTAGAACGTCCTAAGCACGTGAAAAGAAGATATCACATTCCAATTTGTCTGCTTCCCACAACAAATCGTCGGGGGACCTCCCCGACTGCAAGTCCCTTTTTTTCTTTTCTCAACAAATTTTCAGGGACCTATCTCCAGTTTCCTTCTCACTTCCTCTTCTCTCTCTCTAATCATCATTTTTTCCTCCTCCCTTTCTTCTTTCCTCCTCCTCCTTCAGCAGAGGATGACGCCTCTTGTATTAGTGCCCTTCGACTGAAATGGCATCAAGTTCTGCATGAGTTAAATGATTACACATGGGGCAGGCTCAACTTCCAGGTCAACTGCAAGGCATTTCGCACCCGTGCATCTGGTTCTGGCAGATAAAATTCTATTCTGAGCAAAGCTTTTGGGGCATTGTTTACACTTGTATGCTTTTTAAACACTGTGTTTGAGATAATGGCGGAAAAGACTGGTATTATGAGAAAAGGCTTGGGGGCACTGCTTGCATTTAAATGGCTTTTCACCTGTGTGCGTTCGATTATGGCTCCTCAGAGAGGAGCTTCGAGCAAAGGTTTGGGGGCACTCCTGGCATTTAAATGGCTTTTCACCAGTGTGCACATGATTGTGGCTTCGTAGATCGGAATTTCGAGCAAAGGCTAGGGGGCAATGCTTGCACTTAAATGGCTTTTCACCAGTGTGCGACCGATTATGGCTTCGTAGATCGGAATTTCGAGCAAAGGCTCGGGGGCACTCCTTGCACTTAAATGGCTTTTCATCAGTGTGTGTTTGATTATGGCTTCGTAGATCAGAATTTCGAGCAAAGGCTAGTGGGCACTGCTTGCACTTAAATGGCTTTTTACCAGTGTGAATTTGAATATGGCTTTGCAGATGGGCATTTACAGCAAAGACTTTGGGGCAATGTATGCACCTAAATGGCTTTTCACCAGAGTGCATTCGAGTATGATTTATCAGATTGGAACTTTGAGCAAAGGCTTGAGGACACAGCTTGCACTTAAATGGTTTTTCACCAGTGTGCATTCGATTATGCTTTCTCAAAGACGAATTTTGAGCAAAGGCTTGGGGGCACTTCTTGCACATAAATGGCTTTTCACCAGTGTGCGTTCGAGTATGGCTTTCCAGATGGGAATTTCGAGTAAAGGCTTGGGGGCACTGCTTGCACTTAAATGGCTTTTCACCAGTGTGCAAATAATTATGGCTTCGTAGACTGGAATTTCGAGCAAAGGCTCGGGGGCACTCCTTGCACTTAAATGGTTTTTCACCAGTGTGCAATCGATTATGGCTTTGTAGATCGGATTTTCGAGCAAAGGCTAGGGGGCACTCCTTGCACTTAAATGGCTTTTCACCAGTGTGCAAATGATTATGATTTCGTAGATCAGAATTTCGAGCAAAGGCTTGGGAGCACTGCTTGCACTTAAATGGTTTGTCATCCCTGTGTGTTCGATAATGGCTTCGCAGATGGGAATTTTGAGCAAAGGTTTGAAGGCACTGCTTGCACTTAAATGGCTTTTCACGAGTGTGCAATCGATTATGGTTTTTCAGAAGGGATTTGTAAGCAAAGGCTTGGGGGCACTGCTTGCATTTAAATGGCTTTTCACTGTAGTGCTTTTGAGTGTTGCCGAGCACTTGAGCATTAGAGCCAGACTTGGGAGGATGCTGGCACTTCGATTGTTCATCACCATGGGCAGTCAGATGGCTCACAATTCCACGCTGATCTCTGGTGACATAGGTGCAGGAACAGCATCCGAACCAGATGTCCTCGGTGACTTTCAGTGGGTAGCTGGTCTCCCTCAACAATGCAGCTCCATCACCTAGACGAAAAGAGGATATGTATTCACACACAAGGAAAGCCAAACTAAGATAGCCAATTAGTTTGGAAAAGAGTAGTCATTAATGCAGTTTTGCTGCAGCTCTAGCTGAATATTTTGCTGTGCTTTGAAATTCGATTCACCGAAGCACTCAAATGCAACTGGCTTTAAGGAAAGTCCCATTTCTTGAAAAATGGAAATCCTAAAAAATGCATACATTTTTAACTGATTTATAAATTAAACTTCACATACCTTCTCCCTTTGGAAATTTTGTTTTCTAAAAATTGTATTTTTTTGAGAAGTGTTTTTACCACGGTACCTTTGGATTTAGAATCTGGATCTGAATGCATAATTATTAAGAAAGAACGAAAACAATATCTAGAAATTGTTAGATATGCCGTCTTCTAATTGGCAATTACTGATTATGGCAGTTCAGATAGAAAGTCTTCCATGAAGTTATCAGTAAAAGAATTACAACATGTGGTGCAGTCATGTCCCGCTAATATGGATGCCTGCTATATAAACTTTTTCCGCTTGCTCTCACCCCCGACCGCCAAGTAGGCATATCCGATATGGGCGACGAAACAATATTAAAGCGTCTCAACCTGCAACTAGTAAAAACATAGATTGGAGACAAAACGAAAATAGGCGACAGTTACGCTTATCTCCTACATTCATTCTATTGGCGTGGCGATGGCAAAGCAATGTTTTCACCCATACTGGAAGTGACGATATTTCAAGAAGGCGGCACCCTTGGAAAAAAGGTCTATGGACAAAATATAGGGGGACCAATCTCCCTTATGCAACTTTGCCTCATAAATATTAATAGCCTGAGTGCAGGCCAAGGTCAGCTAGTTCTGGGAACAAACTAGGTAAATACATGCAGGTTTGTCTTATTATTAGACACAAGAGTGTCCACAAATAAAAAAGTGAAAGCCGTTTACAAATCCCTGTAACGCCGAATTGGAGCGCAGCTCTTGAGGAGGAGGAGTGAAGGGTACTGCGTGGAGGGTAGACCCCTCCTCCTTCTCCTCCTCCCCTCATTCTTTAATATGCTCCGGGGGGGGGGGTCACGTGACCTCGGGGGGGGGGGGTGTCACGTGACTTTGGGGAGGGGGGTCACGTGACCTCGGGGAGGCGTAACCTGGGGGTCACGTGACCTTGGGTGTCACGTGGGGGTCACCTCAAGGTCACGTGACCCCCAAGGTGACCCCCATGTGACCTCAGGAGGTCACGTGACCTTGGGGGTCACGTGACCTAGAAGGGTCACGTGACCTCGGGGGGTCACGTGACCTTGGAAAAAGACCACGTGACCTCGGGGGTCACGTGACCTGAGAGGGGTCACGTGACCCGGTCACGTGGGGGTCACCTTGGGGTCACATGACCTTGGGAGGGGTCACGTGACCTCAGGGGGTCACGTGACATTGGGGGTCACATGACCTGGAGGGGTCACGTGACCTTGGGGAGACCACGTGACCGCGGGGGTCACGTGACCTTCAGGGGGTCACGTGACCTTGGGATGACCTTGGTTACGCCGACGGCGACGCCGCTCAAGCTGGGAACGGGCCCCTAAGAGCTGCGCTCTAAAAGAGCTTAGTTAAGACCTTGGGATACAGAGCTCACCGAGTCCCACTACTTTCGGCTGCTGGTTTCGCTTCCTTGAAAGGCATGGTGACCTTGGCACCCAAGATTGGCTCAATCTATTGGGGCTTTCCAGCCAAATGTGTAACCTTTGCTTCTTTCCTTATGTTATGATGTTCTTGAGGTTTGTCATCTGTGGCCACTTTCTAGCTTGTCTGGCCTCTTTCGTCTATGCATATTTGCGGACAGCCACGTTTTGGTTAAAAATCAGTCCAGCAATCATGGGCATACCTTGGCAAGGCAATAATTCCAGAGGGAGCACTTAACTGGCTTAGGCAGGGACAGGAGTCTTAAGTGTAAACACATACAGGGCTAAGTTTGAAGGTATGGATGAAATGTACACTATGTGCAGAGCGGATATAAACAATTGAACATGTGATTCTAACATGTAACGAGTTTAGTGCTGCCCTTCCCAAAGGGGGGATAGACGTACTGGGGGCAGTTTCGCTGGCCCCTGTATATGCAACAAAGAGGTTGGAGTGCCGGTAGAAACTATGTGGGTAAAAGTGACTGAAGAACAACTACCATAAGATACCAGGGGAGCACTCGTCATTATTTATAAAAACGGGAATGATCTGGAAATGGGCACTTGTTCAATCAAATGGAGCACTTAGTGTATAATTTGCAGTATTCCCAAGTTTGGAACATGTTAATAGTGGGTGCTTGAACACTTCACTGCCCTCTTAAAGGAATGCTTCACTGCCCTCTTAAAGGGACGATGAAAACGATTTTAATTAATTTTTTTTAATTGTATTTTTGGGTTTCTTGGGAACCTAACACACTGCCCATTTTTTAGACATTTGTGATGCATTTTCTGTGCCTACGAAAAAACTGAAGAAACCGAAGCTGAACTATCTCCATATTCATTTCTGCGCCTTCGAAAACGGAGATGACGTAGGGAGTGACAATGTAAATAGTCGGTATCGGTAACATTTGGGAGATCGAGACTCTGGTTACCGTGGTAGGTTATAGCAGCGCGTGGTCGTTCCCAAAGTAAACACGACACCAACATCTGAAACCAAAACCAAACGTCTCTGTCGTGTTCTGCACTGTGTTCTTTTTTATTTATTTTGTTTGCCCATAGTTGCTCGTTGCCCGTTTCACGTCCAGCATAGCAAAGAGAAAAAAAAATTATGCTGTTTTATTTAAGGTTTAGCAATCATTTCGGTCCGATTTATACGTTTGATAGTTATTTAAGTGGAAATTGGAACAGCGTTCAAATCACAAACCAAAACGTGACCGAGGATACGTCTGTCTCGACCAATCGCTGACGCGCCTCTTGTGACGTCGCGCTTCAAGGCCCCACAACGTCACACAAACTCCGCTTCTCCCGCAACTCTCAGGGCATCGCCGTAATCGATCCCGGTAGGATTACCGCGACTGCTTATTTGATTTGCGCGGAACACAAGTGCCGGTTTCGGATGAAATTTGGGCAAAGTTGCCTGGGACGTGCCTGCAGCCCAGTTCAATCGCCAAAAAGATATCTGAAATTGCCTTCATTATGCCTTAACTGACTGTCCTCTTCATTCTTTTCCAGCATTAGCCCACTACCTGGTAAACAGCCCGCTTCCTCTCTTCTATCTCCACACCCCTGATCTAATGGCAACGAGGTGCTTTGGTGGCACCACCTTGCGGGCGCCCTCCGGTGCGCAGCTGGTAGAATGTGAGCAGACGACGCGTTATGTTAAAGCATGGAGCAATTATGTTAGTTTGACTCTATGCCGATTAAAAATGGTTTATTTATTAAAGAAACGTGTATGACATTTATGCAAGTGATCGTTCTAATGAATAACAGCACCTCAAAGTTGCTTTTTATATAAAAAAAAAAAACTTTAAAAAGTTTAGAGAACAGCTGGGAGCTTCCCAATATAGCAGTGTCGAAACCAAAGCATTACAAGTAACGACGTCACTGGTAACGTGTTAGTTTTTTTACTAACATACTGGTTAGAATCCCAAATAAATAAGGAGTAATGTCATTATTGTTTTATAATACCTCCTATCAAATTACGTTACTCGTTACTCTTGAATAAAAATGGGTACACGATTGTTTGAAAACAAAATTTTTATCCTGTACACTGCGTAAAAGTGCCAAAGAAATCGCAACAAAGCTTTGCATAATGGGCGTCATTTCAAACTCCTTCGGAAGACGCTTTTAATGTTTCAATGACTGGGCCCAAAAAGGCGCGAGATTATCACTGTGTGAAACCCCTAAGCGTCCGCGGTGCAGTCTTTTTAGGGAAGCTGCTAAGATCACTGTCGCCATACCCTGAGCAGCCGTCTCGCTGGAAAGAGATCTGTTCAGAACGTAACAATCTGCCGCCGCTCGAAGGATTTTGCCTCAGCGTCCCAAGCTACTCCAGCTGGTCACATCCTTGTCTTCAAAACAAATAAATTCTCGTTCTGTCAGCAACAGTCAGATAAACTACAAGTTTAAAAGCGGTGACATTCCCACGCTTTGAACCAAAACAAGTCTGCCAGCGATGGCCGGGTGCTGACGTGTCATTAATTGGAATTGCGACGTCAATTTGTGAAGGAACAAAATAATATTTATTTCACTGGCTAACTTTGATTACATAAAAAAGTATATTTTCCGTCCGTTACGTGGCTTGCATCCGGTCAGTCTCTTCAGAGCAGTTTCTTCCTCTCAGGCAGGTGCTATGGGAAAGGTTGTTTTCTGAATCGTGCTCGTGAAGCATCATGTGTTCGAGGATATACGTTACATATCCTGCCGACAGATAACCTTTATTAACCTGATCAATACAATGTGAATTTCTCTGTTAGTATGTTTGGCGTTATTGAAATTTTATTATTGTGTGTTGTTTTGAATTGCTTATTTATATTGTTCGTTGATGGCTTAAGCTGTTTGTGTGAGTTTCCAATGTATAAAGGGGATCTGTACTGCACTCTTCTGCTGTAATGCTCTGCCATGGCAGAGTAAAAATAATCCCTCTGAACAAGCATATTTTTGCAGAAGTTTATAGACGCAGTTTATTATAAACAGCTGTCATATACTAACAGTGAAACACAAAGTGACAACAAAATGACATAAAAGTAATGTCCGTTAGTCATGGCAAGCAATGACACCGGTATTTTATTACATTTGCAAAATGGTAACGGAGCTCCGTAACACGTTAGCTTTTTTCAAGCTAATAGGTAACGCTATTTCGTTACTTATTTTTGGTAATGGGCACAACACTGCATGATAGATTGCGTGGCGTGGGTCAGGGCTCTTCCCAGCCTCTCTGATTGTTGTTTTTTCCGGATTTGATAAGGCTGCCGTAGGAAAAGATTTTGCATTCCCCAGAGTCAATGACAGGCTATCCTCTTAGGAGTGCACGCGTGCACAGCTAGCTACATTGATCTTGC